TTCCGAGTGCTGGGTTGCAGCTGGAAGGGCATCCGCTGCGTAAAAAAATTCTGCTATAGTTAGTGGTTCATTCCACTGTGGTGATCCCTAATAAATTAGGGACTAAGTCAAAGGAAAACGAATTGAATGAATGAAGGAAATGTGATTACCTTTAGCTAACACTTTCCGTTAGGGATGTACCGATCAGGGTTTTTTTGCCCTCGAGTCTGAGTCATTTGATTTAGAGTATCTACCGAAACTGAAACCCGATCTGATACTTCTATAATACATAAAAACGAATAAAAGAGAGCGAAGAACCAGATACAGGATGCTCCTTATTTTTCATTTAATTCACCTTATTTTAACATTCAACAACTCTGTTTGTTTGTTGTGTTTTCATTTCCACCTCTTGCAATCCCAAGTTTACATCTCTCACAGTTTGCTAGGCAATGTTGTCTTCATCAAGCTTATAATACCTCCAGACCGCAGACATATTCCCAATTACCGCTTCAAGCTACATCCATGTTCTACTTTGCTGGAATTTAACCAATAGCGTCTCTGCAACAATGTGATGTCATGCTGCACGTGTTGCTGTTCTGATCAAATCTGAAGCTGCACATTCGGGCCCGATTTCTGATCACATGATGGGATCTAGACATCTCTACTTTCCATACATTATTTAAGAAAATTAAAAGATACTCACATTTACTCACCATCAAGCTCTGTGAGTTTCTTTTTTCTTTTGAAGAATGTTGAAAACTGGTAACCATTGACATCCATATTAGGAAAAACAAAAACATAGGCTCATTCTAAAAAACATAGCCCTATATACATTTCTGGAGATTTTAAATCATGTAGCCAGAAGTACGTATGACTGCATTTTTGTCTTTAAAATTAATGCTTTGGGGCGGTATGACTCCATTCCTTTTCTCGCTTACCAGCTGACCGCTTACCTCTGTATGGACGGCTTTCCCACTGTTACAAGTTTATCCAGTTAGCTCGTCATGTATATGTCCGACTTGAGATGCAGAGAGCAGTTGACCACGATGATGGGGTTTGAGTCCAGCGAAAAATGGTTCCAGAAAGCAGGTAAGACAAAAGCAGAAACAAAAAATAAAATAAACAAGTAAATAACAGGGTGAGAATGTGGTAAAAATCAGGTGAAGGCTTTTTTGATCTGGATTGCTTTTGAAAACTGTTGGTTGGGTTTAGAAAAGGGGTGGGCGGGTCAATTGGTGTTTTTGAAAACACTACTGGTTGGGTTTAGGGAAGGAGGAGGGTGGGTCAGTTGATTAGTCAGTCAGTCAAACAGTCAGTCGACAGCAGCCTCTGGTGGATTTACATGAAAACAGCAGGAGCAAATGGCACTTGTGAGAAAAATTTGAGATCTTAAAAAGCTTACATACACAGCAGCAAAAACTGCAAAAAAAAACATAGCTCCTGGGACGTAGTTGGTGCTCTCCAGAAATGTATATAGGGGTACATAATCAGCCTGAGTTAAAAAAAAAAAAACTTTAAAAGTCAACAGCAGGTTTCCAACATTCTTCAAAACATCTTCTTTTGTGTTCACCAGAAGAAAGAAAGTCAAACAGGTTTGGAACAAGTAAAGGTAAAGTAAACGATGACAGAATTTTATTTTTTAGGTGAATTAAAGGTTTTATTATTACTTTATTATTACTTTTCCCAACTTACAGCATACCAAAGTTTTTGTACAAAAGTATTGTTAAGCCAGTGTGGCGTGTGCAATGGGAAAGGGCCATGGGAACAGTCTGAAGTGATTCTGCTCAGCCGTGTTCCTGATTTCAGTGTGATCCTGGAGATCGGGGAGGCTGATGATTACAGGTTGTGCTAATTAAGGGTTTTGCGTTTACTCCACAAAATCACACTGAGCTCATCTAGTCTCTAGAGCACATCAAAGAAAGCACACGCAACCTGCCGGAGTCTCTGTTTAGCCTCTTTCTCTGCTGTGGATTTAATCATGTGCAATTATTTCACATCCTGAAGCAGGGTTTCCCAACTGGGGGGGTTGTGATGAAGAGACTGTTAGTGATTGAGATTTTATGAAAATTAAATATGCATATATGTATATCAATTTTATGTGCTCTACCATTCAGAGTTTTGAAGTCAGGGAGATTGTTTTTTTAAGGAAGTCCCTTCTGCATCCTGAGGCTGCATGCATTTCATTAAAAACTGACAACTATTTTAAGATTTTAGATAACTGTGATTAAGATTGTTTTAAAATGTCATTTTATTTTCTGTTTTGTCAAAGCTGACTTTTCAGCATTATTACTTCTATTCCAGTCTTCAATGTTACATGACCCTTTAGAAATTATTCTAATATGCTGATTTGATGCTTCATATTAATATCCCTCTTTAAAACATTCATTCATTCATTTTCCTTCAGCTATATCCACAGTGGAATGAACCGCCACAGATTATATTCCAGCAAATGTTTTACGCAGCTGATGCCCTTTCAGCCGCAGCCCAGTATTGGGAAACACCCATACCATACCTGTCATCATTGGGATGTGAAAATAAGGGATATGCCTACCATAATAAAGGATATGTTATATGTAATATGTTTTGTTATTATTATTTACAAAAGAAAAAATAAATGCTAAACATTAGCAGCAAATAAATTAGCAAACAGTTCAGCTTATTAAAATTAATAGCTATTATAAAGAAATAGAATCAAGTTATTAAATTTCATTAACCTTTTCTTCACTGTATAATTTACACATTCTCATTAAAGAGAAACAAATGAATCTCTCATTTATTTGAATTTTTCGTTTGATAACATTAAATAACAGAGGTGTCACACAAAAAAAATGCACACATCTAACGTTATAATGAAAAACCTTCCAAGATTGACATGTTTTATATGTTACTATTATTAATTATGTATATATATCTGTTAAAGCATGCACCCAAAACCCAGACTTTCGCTCCGCTCCAAATTGCGTGTACAGAATCCATTTAGGAAACAGCATCTATTAATCACTATGAAGCGCGTCAGCTGACAGTCACGCACCGCTATATGTACTATATATATTTACCGACTGTTTTGGGGATTGCATAGGAGGGGCGACGACCCCTGTAATGAAGAGGAAAGGGAATCCTGCCGTTTTCATATTTATTTCAAAGTTTTTTCATGCCTAAATAATACAAAAGCACAAGAACAGACATTTAGGAGCAAGGGGCGTCCCCTGGTGGTTCGGTGGTGTCGGTTGCATAAGGGGGGATCAGTTCTTTAATGTTTATTGCCAACCTTCATAGAAAGACTAAAAAACAGGAGAAATACAGGAAAATACCTTTCCAGGATGATGGCAGGATAGAACTGTAAAATACGGGACAATCCTGGGAAAGACGGAAGGGTTGATAGGTATGACTCTAACATACACACACACACACTACGGACAATTAACCCACACCAACATGAGGAAAACATTCAAACTTCACACAGACATGCCAACTGACCCAGCTAGGACTCGAACCAGCGACCTTCTTGTGTGAGAGCACCCGGAGGAAACCCACGCCAACACAGAGGAATGTATTCAAAATATATTTATATCCTCGAGTGCTCGTTGGTTTCACATATATAATGTTAATTTTAACTCCTGTTTAGTATTTTATCATGTTATACGTGTGTCTGCACAATTCAACAAAAATCTGTAGTGACATTTATTTAAATACATTTTGCACAATGTGACAAACGTTTTTTAATGTATCGGCATAGTAAAGAAACACTCATTCATTTTCTTTTGCGCTTAGTCCCTTTATTAATCAGGGTTTGCCACAGTGAAAGGAATTGCCAAATTATCCAGCATATACACTGCAAAAAATGCTTTTCTTGCTTAGATTTTTTGTCTTGTTTCTAGTCTAAATATCAAAAAATTCCTAAATCAAGAAGAATTTTCGAGACAAGCAAAACACATTGTCTCGTTTTGAGAAATAATATGCCAATATTAAGTGAGTTTTTTTCTTAAAATAAGCAAAATAATCTGCCAATGGTGTAAGCAAAATGATCTTACATCAAAAGAAAAAACAAGATTATTTTGCTTACCCCATTGGCAGATTATTTTGATTGTTTTAAGGAAAAACTCACTTAATATTGGCATATTATTTCTCAAAACAAGACAATATGTTTTGCTTATCTAGAAAATGCTTCTTGATATAAGAAATTTTAGATATTTAGACTAGAAACAAGACAAAAAAATCTAAGCAAGAAAAGCATTATTTGCAGTGTATTTTGCGCAGCGGATGCCCTTCCAGCGACAACCTAGCACTATGAAACATCCATACATTCACACACACTCATACACTACAGACAATTTAGTTTATTCAGTTCATCTAAAGCGCATGTCCTTGGACTTGTGGGGAAAACCGGAGCACCCGAAGGAAACCTACGCAAACACAGGGAGAACATGTAAACTCCACACAAAAATGCCAGCTGACCCAGCTAAGACTTGAACCAGCAACCTTCTTGTGGTGAAGCGATATCGCTACCCACTGTGCCACCATGCCGCCTTATAAAGAAACATGAAAAGCAAATGATTTCCGTTCCCATAGCATGCAGACTACTGTTACTAAGCGGAGTCGCTGCCTCAGACTAGCACAAATGGCATGTAACAGTCAAAGGTCAGAGTGAGAATGTGTGTTTGAGGTGGGCTAAAGAGGGCAGCTGTTACCACATTCAGACCCCACAGGCTGACGGAGCACGGCTTGTGCGTATCGGCGGAGAGGTTTTTGTGTCTGCTGTAAGCGAGGGCCTGTTCTGACAAGCGCAGAGTGTGTGTGTTTGTGTGTGTTGAAAGCAGGGCCGCGTCCCATCGCTGGAGAACAGGCTCGTGATAAGAGTCCCTCCAGACAGCGGCGCTTCTGTTTATTTCCTCTGCTCTCTCTTCAGATTGGCATCAGTTGGCTGTTGAGTGCCAGAGGCTGGCGCAGAGGAAATTAGATAACGGGAGGGTCATTCTTGGCACCCCTGACTCATCTAATGGTTCATCTCTGTTGTGTTTTAGGAACGGCAGCGGCTGGAGACAATCTTGAACCTCTGCGCTGAGTATAACAAGGGCGACGGGCCGCCGGGTGATTTGGGCAGGATGGGCGTCTCTGGGCTTGGCTCGAGGGACGGGCTTAACGTCAGGCGTCCTTCAATGGACAGCGTGAACAGCGCTTCACTAAGAGCGACTCAAAGACAACGGGAAAGCCAAGAGGACAACCTGAAGGAGGATAGCAGTAGCACTGAGAGTGCGCAGCTGGACGGACGGACACCTGCTCTGCTAAATGGACAGAATGGACAGGTTAGACTGTTTTTCTTTTACATACAAAAATAGCTGCTAGTTCAAAACTTCTTTTGAGCTGAAACAACTCAATTCTAAAGATTTTGGGGGGACAACTGAATTTTTTTATGCTCAATCCACTTGTTAAGTTAACTTAATCGATTTGTGTTGCTACAACAGGAATGAATTGTGTGGAACCCTACCTTCTGTACAGTGTTAGAACACTTCCTGTTTTATAACACAGGGTTTTACCAATAACAGTGTTGGAACTTCCAGTTTAATAACAATATTAATGTGCTTTTTACATGTTTTATATTTGAGTTTAAGAAGCTTTTCTTTTTCGGAAAAAATTGGTGGTAATATTAATGGAGTGTACAGAAGCTGATCTCTGTCAGTCAGCGCTAATTCATGCATTCGCTGATTCAGAGGTTGCATATGAAGGGCAATAATCGACGCACAGCTTTAATGGAAAGAAAGTGAAAGCCGACATTTTCATATTAATTTCAGCGTGCTTTCAAAAATAAAAATTTGAATATGAAAAATATGAGAAAATACTTAATGATAGGATGATAATGGGATAGAATGCTAAAATACGGGAGAATCCTGGCAAAAAAGGGAGGGTTGACATGTATCAAGTGAACAGGAAGTGTTTGTAGAAAACAGTTTTGCGAGGGAACCCAAAACATCTTTGTGAGAGAACACAAAAACTTAAAAATATGTTTTCTTATCACTCAGTTTTTTTTCTACCATCTATTTTTTCCCCACCATCATGTGCCTTCTGGGTCTCCGTACAAAAATAAGTTACAAAATATTTAAGTCCAAAATTATTCATTCCCCTGACAAAATCAGACTTAAAGTTTTTGTTCAAATGTAAACAAAAACTGACAGAACTGTCCACAGTGATGCCTCTTGTACATTGTCTTATTATCTTTTAGGAGAAGCCCGTGTCATTTCTGCTCCAAAAAACTACTTGCTGGTTGACTAAAAGTCACTTTAAGTCTGAATTTCCCAGGGGTATGAATAATTTCGAGCCTCGCTCTTGTAAAACAAACCCACAAAGGAATTGTTATATTGATTCAAATTGATTCTTATATCGATTACAATTTTTCAGGCTGAGGAGTCTCTGGGTTCGGGCAGCATTGGCCGTCTGGAGCTGGGCTACCTGGAGGAGGAGCGGGTTCGAGTGCTGGCAAAGGTAGATGAGCTCAAAGCTCGAATCACAGAACTGGAGCAGCAACTTCAGGAGTCTAAACAAGAGGCAAGCAATTCACACAAAACAATTCTTGCGCAGCTCCTTAAACACACTAAAGGATACACAGGAAGTGCTTTCCTCCTAATTATAGTGGATAAGAGATGCGTCCTGGAAAAGAAAATGTCAGATGGGGCTCTCGGGTGTGTTTATGTGTCCTGTGTGAAAACTACTCTCTCTGATGTGTTGATCTGGACAGGCGGAGATGGAGAGAGCTCTGCTGCAGGGAGAAAGACAGGCTGAGATGGAGCAAATCGAGACTGAGACCGAGATTATCAACCAGCTGCAGCGCAAACTCACTGAACTGGAGAGCAGCATCCAGAGAGAGAAGGACAAGGTATGGACACGATCACCACACGCAGGCTCACTGAATGTAAACCACCCACATTCAGAGACATATGATAAAATGCATGTTTATTTGTAAAATGTAGACAATTGGATGCCTATAGATTTTTTTTTTCTGTTTTGCTTACATATTTTTCAAAAATGTATTTGCTGAGGTGATCAAGAGAAATCATTTTGATTTCTGGTGTCAGTACTTTATTAGCTGTACTTCCTAAAGTACATAAATTTAAGGTTTTAGTCATCTTTTTGAGAAGTCAAAATATCAACATTTATTTGAAATTGAAATATATTTTGTGACCTTGTGACTAGGAATGCACTGATATGATTGTTTATTTATTTATTGCTGATAATGATACAATTTTTACAAAAATAAAACTTTCAGTTGGTTCAGATACCAATGTTGGTCATTAGCACATAGTACAATCCAATACTTGCACATTTTTTCTCCATTAAATTAGTTGGATTTGGATCCATTAAACATTCAATTGTCCAACATTTTAAAAATAGCAATATTGACAATCTTCAATAGTGATTTTTTGGTATTTAAAATATATTTTTTAACAACAGTAATTTTTATTTGACATTAAATAGAACATATTTATTTAATAAACAAAATAAGCATATTTAGAGCCAGTGCTATTGATGTATGTAATTATTGTCCTATATGTTATTATTGTTGTTTCTTTTATCGTTCAAGAAGTTTAAGCACATACGTACCAATAGTTTTGTGCCAGCGTTATAGATAATATTGTCATTTAATGCAATAAATTTTTTATTAAATATTTAAAGATTTTTTATGTAAGTAAACATGCAGACATATTTGCCAACTTAGCAATTTGTTGCAAGATTGAGCAACCTTTCGAACTATTCTATCAATGTTTTTATCAAAAAGCACAGAGCAACAAACTTAGCAATTTTTGACATTCATTTGGCTACTTTTAGCAACTTTTAAAAAGTGAAAAAAGAACAGTGATGACTGCAGGCGTAATGCCTCTTTCACACTGCACACGCTAGCAGAGCAAAAACAGAGGTTGTTTTTTTTTTTTCGACGCCCATGTTAAAACATTAGAGCATTAATACCACGTGCAGAATAAGCAATCATTTCAGCATTAGGCCTATTTTTTTCAGTGCTGCTTACGCTGTAATTAAAGTGACAATGCGTTGAGAATGTGTAGAAACACATTGGATGAAAGTTAAAAGTAGCAATTTTCCCAATAAGTACATTAATAATATCCACTTATTTTCAAATAGTCAATCAAATTAACTTACAAAGCAAGCTACATCATTTAGTAAGGCTGGGTAGTTTGGCCTAAAATCAAAATCTTGATTAATTGAACATTTTAACATTTAACAATTAATGAACGGCTATTTACTTTGTTTATTAATTTTTTTTTGCCCTCATAGTTCACTGACATGTTGTATATGCCGTCTAAAGGCATCTCTGGCGCAGCTTCAAGTCATCGTCAATGTAGTGCAAAGTAAGGCTCAAGAATGAGTCCGTTGTCCTACTTGACCAGAGATCAGATGTGGCTGTAAAAAGTATAAATCAGCCACAACCTTAAACAAAGTGGGGTCACGTGACATGTAGGGAAAGTAATTAAAAATATCATCCTGGAAAAAATAGATTGATTATAGGTTCTGAATGTCAATTTTGATCACATTTTGATTAATCGCCCAGCTCTATCATTTAGCAACTTTTAGCGTCAGATTTTTCCACCTTCAGCAACTTCCTCTGAAAATTTGACTCTTGTCAGGTATGTTCACACATACAAGGAATTTGTTTTCGCTTCTACTGTGCAACAGAATTACAGAGACAGGACAAAAACAGATAATAAATATATTTAAAAAAATTGAAGTAAGTAGAGAATGAAAACATACAAATTGACAAGTGTATGTAGTTGGCAACAGTGTATGCAGATAGCTTTAATATAATCCAAAATCAGATGATAACATTCAGTGGCCAATATATCAGTGCATCCCTAATCTTCCTTGCCACTTCAATCAGTTTAATGGAACTTTGCAGAATTAAAGTATTAATTTAAATGATAGAAAATCACAATTGTGAAAGAGCAAAACAATTGTCAGCATTTATAATAATAATAATAATAATAATAATAATAATCAGCATATTATATTGATTTCTAAAATAATACTGAAACTTCAGCTTTACAATATTACTGTATACTCCTCCAGCAAATACAACCTTAGGTGATCTCATTCTTTTACTTACAAACAAATAATTCTCCAAACTATTGACTGTTAGTGTACACACTATTGTCCACAGATAAAATAACTTCTTGTCAACAAAATTTCACTTACGTAGATGCGCTTTATTTGTGAAGTGCTGAGTTTTGAATCCCTATGTGGACTGTATTGTGTCTCCTACTGTTGAGCCTCTCTGGACTGAACAGCCTTTTCTGTTCTCTGACATTCCTTAAAGGCATGCCATTCTTCCAGATGGCCACTCAAGGCCCATTCAGGTCTCGATTGCCATCCTCAGGTAAAACAAATGACCACAAAAGAGCGACAGTGCTCATCCAAACTAGCCAAAGCGCTTTCCATTACATCCGATCACTCTTACATCCTACAATAGAGGATCTGAAGATGATAGTCTCATTTAAATGCACTTCACTTTTGTAGTTTGGGCAGAACGCCAAGCTTCTGTCCGGTAATCAAGCATATATTCACCAAGATGTGTTGTCTTTTTCCTCTTCTTCTATGGTGGTTCTCATCAGGTCCTCTACAAAGCTTGGCAACACTAACAAGCCTTCATTAACCTCTAATCTCCTCACTGCTTTTCTCCACACTGACAGTCGCTGTGTGTTTTTTTCTGCTCGGCCCCTCGGGTTCAAAACTCTTTAGCTTAGCATAGCTAACTCAGGTTTAGGGATTAGAGCTCTGGCTTTGAGGTACAATGGCTCTAGCAGTGCGAGACTCAGTGACTTACAGTGGGTGGCTGTTAGAAAGCCTTTTCCTGCATGCTGTTTTAGAATTCCAGCCTTTATTTCTTATCTGTCAAGTTCAGGGTTTCTCTTGGTGTTTTGGTGTCTGCTTTGTCAATTCTGCCAAGTTTCGGGGTTTTGGAGAGGTTCTTAAAGGGAAAGTTCACTCAAAAATTGCTTAAATGGATAGTTCACCCAAAAATTTAGATTTACTCACTATTTACTCTCCATCAAGTGGGGTTGAGTATATAATGACTGAATTTTCATTTTTGGGTGATTTATCCCTGATTTTATTAGGAAAAGGCTGTGACAATATCAGATCTCATTACATAATTGTTCTGGCTATAAGAAGTTTGTTCAAATCTTATTCATGTTGTTTTTTATTATATTTAATAGTGTGTATCATTTAGTGTATTTATAAAAAACAATAAAATATTCAGTTTTTTTCAATGAATTATCCTGCTGCATATATAAGGCATAATTACATTTAATAGAAATGTCTAAAAAAGCTTTTAGGTATAATTACATAATATCATTTGAACACGTAATGATTCATTATTTTCCTCAAATTTTGCCCTGAAGGGCCAATTGTCTGCAGAGTTAGTTTGAATTTTTCTGATCAAACTCACATACCTGTGATTTTGCAATGATCCTGAAGATATCAATTAGCATGCTCAGGGGTGAGCAAGAAAGACGATCTCTTGGGCCAGTTTTGAGGCTCCCTGATTTACAGTGTTTTGAACCAAATCAATCAAACGCATATATCAGTTGCTTGTATCATTGTAAAATGTAAACTTTGTAATAGTCTAGGTCTTATAATCGAGATCTTATATTTGAGACTTTAAGGCCTTTGAGGATTTTAAGACTATAACCATTACATCATGCTTTTTTGTAAAGCCATCTCTTGTTTCTCTAGGCTCTGTTTACACTAATACGTTTTAGTTCTAAAACGGCATTTTAGAATGAAAACGATCCGCATCCAAACAGGCGTTTCACCTAGCATTTCTGAACAACTCTCCATCTACACTAAACCGCTGAAAATGCTGAAATCACATGACCACACACACACACACACACACACACTCTGGCTTGCACTGCAGCATATCTACCCAGATGAGAGGTGTGCACGTCGGACTGTTCATCAAGGATCTACCGCTGGATCTAATCTCACTATATTTAGTAAAAGTGATATTTAATTCATCTTACCTATATTTAATGACACATTCCCATACTTTGGTATTTTGAATCTATTACTTGTTCTCAGCCTTAGGTAACGTGTTTTGGCTGAGCACAAAGATAATTTAGGTAAATACATCAATTAATGTTACAGCGGACACTGATTCTGCACATTTGACTGAAATTACTTGCCTTTATTTGCTATATTGTATAAACTTATTGTAAGTTATACTTATATAATGGCCATTATTGATTATAAAAACTGATATTCAGCAAAAGAAAAGGAATGTTTTGTATTTTTCAATCAAAATAAAAGGAGACATTTCTGTTATAGGCTTTGTTTTGTTATAAATATGCATACAGTGAAGGTGGCGGTCATATAAATATGCAGCTACTCAATGCCTCAACATTTCTGCTGTCCGTTAAGAGGCTAATATCACAATGAAAATAAACAGTTTCTCAAATCATGTTTCTATTTTATTGTTAAGAAAGTGAAACAACGTAGCCAGGGTGATGTGAATGATAAAATGCACTGTTCCCTTTGAAGATTTACTCGACGTGTCCTCGGGAGTTTGTTTTCCATATCAAACTTGTGAAGTCTGAACTGACAAGGAAAGGATGCAAGGCTGAACTGTGTGTAGGCTACTTAATATTGAGGAAAAAGCCTCAATCAGATAGGCGAATGTCTGCAGCCCCACCTCTGTTTTCAGATGTCTCCGTTTTCCCCCAACCACACCAGCACCAACACGCAGCAGCAGCATTTTAAAACTAAAAAGACCTCTCCATCTCTCCTCTCTGTTTGCAAAATGCTCAGTTTTCGGCGTCCGAAAACTTCGGTTAAGAGTGGACAGAAGGCCTTACCTTAGCAAAACTTATGCATTTTAAAACTAAAATGTATTAGTGTAAACAGAGCCTAAACTCAAAGCATAGATCACACAACAATGAATATTTACTTAATATTTACTCACCCTCAAGTGGTTCCAAACATTTATGAGTTTTCTTTTTCTGTTGAACACTAAACAAGATTTTTTGAAGAATACTAGATACTGGTAATCATTGACTTCCATAGTAGTAAAAACAAATACCATGGAACTCGATGGTTATCAGTTTTCGGCATTTTACAAAAAGAATCTCATTTTGTGTTCAACAGAAGAAAGAAACTTAAACAGGTTTGAAATAAGTAAGGGATGAGTAAATGGAAACAGAATTTTCAGTTTTGGGTAAATCCAATGATGTTTTTAGTGTTTATAGCCTTCATTTTCAGTGAAACAACTATTGTATGGTTTCATTTAGGATTTATAATATTTCAAGGTACTTTTAAGCACTTTTTAAGCCTAAAAGATTTTATTCAATATATTAAAAAACAATAATTAACATTGAATAACAATTCATATTGAAAAAAAAACAATTCTTCTAAACTCAAATGAACTTTAATTAACACAAAGAAGTGTACACTATTTATATTATTTAATGAGCTATTTCTCAAATTATGTGTAATAAAAAATATACAGTTGAAGTCAGAATTATTAGCCCCTTTTCTTTTTTTTTTATATTTCCCAAATGATGTTTAACAGAGCAAGGAAATTTTCACAGTATTTTTTATGATATTTTATTTTTTGGAGAAAGTCTTATTTGTTTTATTTTGGCTAGAATATAAGCAGTTTTCAATAAAAAAAAAAAAAAAAACATTTTAAGGTCAAAATTATTAGCACATGTAAGCTATTTTTTTTTTTTCAATAGTCTACAGAACAAACCATTGATATACAATAACTTGCTTAATTACCCTAACCTGCCTAATTAACCTAGTTAAGCCTTTAAATGTCACTTTAAGCTGTATAATGTGTCTTGAAAAATATCTAGTAAAATATTATCAACTGTCATCATGGCTAAGATAAAATAAATCAGTTATTAGAAATGAGTTATTAAAACTATTCTGTTTAGAAATGTGCTGAAAAAATCTTTTCTCTGTTAAACAGAAATTGGGGAAAAAAATAAACAGAAGAGCTAATAGTTCTGACTTTAACTGTATATGAAGATACTTTGGGTTAAAAGACTGTGGTATGCACTTTCAGGCCTTTATTGATTAGTTTGTTTGTTTTGAACCAGTTCCCACCCAGGGGAAGAGCCGCCACCATGCTCATGTTTCCACTGACCGGCTGTAATTTGTACTAGATTGATCTTGACCACAAAAACTTTTGCGCAGTGTTTGTGCAAACATGGGAAATTCCCCTATAAACCTTGGGAATGGCTTTGAGAGCTCTTTAAACAGAATCTAGTTCTGTCTGTGCTTTGATGTATTGATTGCTTGACGTGTCGTGAATGTTTTCATATTGGTCTATGAGAGAACACAAAGCATGACTGCGGTGTAGAGCTTCTCAGCATGTAGCTATAACTTTATCTTTCTTTTTTCGATAAAAGAAAGAAAAAAGGCCAGCTTCAAATGCCAAATAAATGAAATGGCATAATCTAATATAAAAGAACGCACACCAGCAGATATCTGAGGGCTTTGACCAAGAAATGCCTGAGAACAGAAGTCTGTTTGGCCCTGTTGACGGCCTACAGTCCAGGCCTACAGTCCTATTGTTTGCAAAGACTTAGGGTTTTAGCACACTGAAGTCTGAAATTTTCATAGGAGAGAATCACCTCCGTATCAAGGAACTGTGTAGGATTATCCCAAAACTCAAAGTTTATTTCAGGAAATCAGTGGCATTTACACAGAACAGAGTCTGGCAGTACATCAAAGGTGGACACAAACACACACACTAGCCAAACAGTAACATTGGAAAGCTGCATATCATTGAAACCAGCATAGAGGAGTTTACAGTTGTGTTTTTCAACCATCCGCCACATTGTGTCTATATATTACACACTTTGTTTGTCATGAAGTCCTCTGTTCTGCAAGTTCTGCATTTTGGATTTTGTCTTTTGCTTGTATGGTGGCTCTGAATTGTCAAAACAACTCTTAAAATGCTTTTTTACAGATATGAAAAATTAAAAAAACTCAATGTTTTTTTTATAACGACAGATTAAAGTTTCAGTTCAATGCAATAGACCCAGCTTGAGGTCAAATTTATTTTTTAACGTGTGAAAATTTCGCATTCAGTTTGCAATGAACCATGGGGTTCATCATTTGTGGCTCCACCGACTTTGTTGTGACGTCTAACCTCGGATGCTTCTGCATGGCGTGGATTTGAGCTGTGTGTTCTCTTTCTCTCCCCTTTCTGGATGGTGTGTTTTCTTTCTAGGAGAGGGCTAATGTTGACGCGGAGCGGGAAGCCCTGGAGAGGCTTCAGGATGGGTACAATGAGTTGACGAGCCAGCTACATAACTGCCCTGAGTCTCTGAGGGAACAGTTACAGGAACAGCTCAAGAGGGTCAGTGACCATCAGGACCATCAGCATTTATAAAGCTGATACACATCCCCAACTAAGCTCCTCTGGGTTGTATATCCACCAAATCCAACATGATGATCCTAAGTAGAAACATTTATTCTAAGTGACTGTCTACAGTCCAGGCAATGATTTCTGCTGGGAACGTCATGTTTTTATTTGAGTATGCATTAGTTTAGTGCACTGAAAGGGTCATATAGTGGTGTTCAGAGGTGGAATGTTGAGCATGCTTTTGACAGTTTTTTGGGGTGTAATATTGAGGTTTTACTACTGTCAAGTCGCCAAAATATGAATAACATTGAATAACTTTACTAATCTATTAATGCAGAAACTAACACAGCGCTATAGTTTTGTGTTTTTGTTTAATCTGCTGAAATATCATGTACTTCTTTCTCTTCATTCCACACAGGTTATTTGATTTGTGTGTAAAAAAAAGATGGTACAATACAAAACATACCTTGAAATCTCTTTGAGGAAATACCATATATATTTATGTTGATTTTAGCATTTAAAGCCATCTTTTCAGACTGTGCTGTGTTAGTGTTTTTGATGAATAGCTCTTTTTTGCAGATATAAATACTCAATAGGCTGCATGAGAGGGAAGTGATGTCATGTGTGCACAGAGGCTTCAAATGTCACACTTTAATAAGTTGAGTTCACCAGTCATTGAAGTGCGTATAGAAATGGCGAGACATACTTGCTTTATAAATAGATTTATAAAGTCATTTTTCTTTATTTTTTCATTACATTTTTTTATCCTTTAAAATTATTTTATTTCATGTACTTGTACGATTTAGTAATAGATCTTGGAAGGATTCTAAGGGTATTATTTCCACAAAGTTCCATTTTTATCTACAGAGATCCCTGAGGTTACTACAGGGTTATTTTATTTTATTTAATCTTATTTTATTTTGTTTTATTTTATTTTCATTTTATTTTTTATTTATTTAGATATTTGTAGTAACATTTCATGTATACTTATAAATCAGGGTGTCCACGGGATCTTAAAAAGTATTAAAAGTTCATAAATCAATTATAAGAAAATTAAAGCCCTTAAAAGGTTAACAAGTCTTAAGTGCATTTTTACGAGGTCTTCAATTTTGTTCAAGCATTGTTAAAAGTGTTTTACTCCAAAAAAGCATAAATATATTTATTTTCTTCCTAATATTTACAACGCCCTGCTCGATTCATGCGATTGGTTCGAGCCGTGTCCAACCAAGCTCCTGCGTCTGGGTGATGTCACATAATTTGAGACAAATGCAGGAAGGCGATGTGACGCTCTCCATATGTAGCAAAACCATAGAGCGAAACAGAATGGGAAAGTGTAAGTTTGTCTACTTCTGGTTGGAGAAAGACGAGTTTAAACAGTGGGTGTAGCCTGTTGCTGAAAACAACCACATAATTTATTCTTTCAAGCTTTATTACTTCTAAGTTTATCTGAGTTCTGTTGTATGGTTGTGCTCCATTGATTTATTTAACTACAACTGTTTATCAAGTTAAAGGTTTAATACTGATTATAACTTATAGAAGCGATGAGGTCTTAAAATATTCTGAGAAGGTCTTTAAAAAGTCTTAAAAAGGTATTGAAATTTCCCTTAGGATTCCTGCATATACCCTGTAAATGTATTTATTTATTTATTTATTTATTTATCACAGATGAATCAGGGATTCACAAATAAATATGTGCAGTTTCCATAAAATAAATTATGAAGTATACATATGTACATATATGTATAATTTTTTTAAATATGATTCATTTGGTAGCTATTTTAATTTCTTCTCTGGGTGTCACGGTGGCACAAAGAGTAGCATTATCGCCTCACAGCAAGAAAGTCACTGGTTCGAGCCTTGGCTGAGTCAAATGGCATTTCTGTGTGGAGTTTGCATGTTCTCACTGTGTTTGTGTGGGTTTCCTCCGGGTGTTCGGGTTTCCCCCACATGTCGAAATACATGCGCTATAGGTGAACTGGGTATGCTAAATTGTCCGTAGTGTATGTGTGTGAATGAGTGTGTATGGATGTTTCCCAGTGATGGGTTGCAGCTGGATGGGCATCCACTGCGTAAAACATATGCTGGATAAGTTGGCGGTTCATTCCGCTGTGGCGACCCCAGATTAATAAAGGGAATGAGCCAAAAAGAAAATGAATAAATGAATGAATAAATGTCTTCTCTGTTCATTTTTATTTTTCAGGTTTATTCAGTATAAAAGTGGTCTTTCTTTACTATTTTATAATGGTTATGGTGTTCCTATTAAGTTAAAAGTAAATATTCGCTGTTTAAAGAATTAAAAATATTAATTATGAATCGCATTGCAGATCATTTTAAAATATGAAATAAAGAAATGTTCCCCATTTACATTTTGTATCAGGTATATAGAAACAAAAGCTATGGAAAGAAAATGTTTTTTCGTTTATTTAAGTAGTTTTACTTAATACTGTATGTCGTAGATAAAAATACACACATTTACCTCCAGTTTCACAAACAAGATTTAAGGCTAGTCAGGATTAAATTTCATGTTTGATCTGTCTCAACTAAAAATAACTTGCAGTAAGATGTCTTAAAATATGTCAGTGTAATTTTTTTTGTTCCCAGGTGCACACCAGTAATATTTTTCTAAGGCCATTTTTATAAATGTGTCTTAAATAACCGTATTTAACTAAGGCAGTTTGTTAAACTATGCCTTAAAGTATTAGTTTTAATTTTAATAATTAGTTTATTATTTATAATAATAATTTATTTGGTCAAATACGCTTGACAGCCTCTAGTGTGCCATAACATTCATCGTCCCTGTGACTGCATGCTCAGTGCTGTCTTCTATGGGATCCCCTGACTGCTCACTGAGCCTCACTTAGATGTGTGTGTTTTAGGAAGCTGAGACTCTTGAAGCAGCGACAAAGCAGTTTGAAGACCTGGAGTTTCAGCAGTTGGAGAGGGAGAGCAGTCTGGAGGAGGAGCGCGAGACCATCAGCCAGCAGCTCATGCAGGACAGAGCTCAATACCACAGCAGTGTCGCCAAGAGAAAGGTACATGAGCTCACACACAGTCACGACAAAGCATATGCAATAGACAAGAGCTGCTAAAGCCCATGTCAAAAATGTTATTTCCAGGAAAAGGTGGTGGCATTGGAGAGCCAGGCGAGCCAGCTGGGAATACAGGCCGCTCAGGAGTGTGAGAGACTGGCCAAGGACAGAACCATCACCTTGCAGATGCTACACAAGGTACTGGAAATGAAAATGACTTCCTATGTTCATCTTTAAAAACACTTAAGACCCTGGTATGCTTTTCATTCTTTGTTTAAGAGCAAAAAGAAGTTATGAAAGCTTGAGTGACTAAATTCAAACCTTCCGACACCCCCACGCTGCCGTAGGCATGGTTGTAAATGTGGCATGCTGCTCGTGTGGAGTGAACCCCTAAACACAACAATAGCAGCTGTGAGAGAAGTTTCATAAACATCTCTGGCAAACAGTCTTACACAAATAAGAGTAGAAATCAGAGTCTACTGCGGCATACAATATCTTTACTTAGTTTGTTATTTAACTTGAAGTGGACAGTCTTAAAAATCTCTCAGCAAGTGATCGTACAGGTGCGGTGTACCAGTTCTGCCACTCAACTCTCCAGTGCAATCCTGTTGTTGTATTGGGGGTTGTTCTCCTGTTTGACCCCCTTGGATATGACAGATGAAGCATGTTAAAGAAGGCGGAGTTATTGAACACTCCTACTGATTTCGTAATCGTCACTGACCAATGGAAGCTGTTTCGGAGCCCTATCAAACTACCCTAGAATTTTTGTTTTGGTGAGCTGTTTCAAACTGAAAAAAATTGCAGTTGACATGTAAATGAACCGGCAAAATGCGTACCAAGTTCCCTGTTTTTGGAAACATCAACATAGGCTCATTCTGAAAATGTAGCCCTATGTAAATTTCTGAAGGTCGTGAATTATGTAGCCAGAAGTACGTATGGCATGCATTTCAGCGAACACTACAGCGTGGTATGACACCAGGGTGGTAAGCTGACCGCTTACCTCAGTATGGACGGCTTTCCCGCTGTTACCAGTTTGTCTAGTAGCTTGCCATGTACATCGGCAGACTTGAGAAGCAGAGAGGAGTTGACCACAATGACAGGGTTCGAGTCTGGCAAAAAACAGTTCCAGAAAGCAGATAAGACAAAATCTGAAGCAAGTACATAGCAGTGGGGTAACGTGGTGGCACAGTACTGTAGGTAGTGCCTCACAGCAAGAAGGTCAATGGTTGGGGCCTCAGCTGGGTCAGTTGGCATTTCTGTGTGGAGTTTGCATGTTCTCCCCGCATTCACATGGGTTTCCTCCAGGTGCTCCGGGTAAATTATTATAGGTAAATTATAGGTAAATTAGCTAAGCTAAAATTGTATGTAGTGTGTGTGTGTGTGTGTGTGTGTGAATGAGAATGTATGGGTGTTTCCCAGTGATGGGTTGCAGCTGTAAGAGCATCTGCTGCGTAAAACATATACTGGATAAGTTGGCGGTTCATTCTGCTGTGGCGACCCCAGATTAATAAAGGGACTAATCCGAAAAGAAAATGAATAAATAAATGATTGAATGAATGAATGTCTTTTTTTGTTCATTTTTATTTATGTGGTAAAATCTGAAAACATGGTAAAAATCAGGTGAGGGCTTGTCTTTTTCTGGATTGCTTTTGAAAACTGTCAGTTAGGTTTAGGGAAGTGGGTGGGCGGGTCAATCTGTGCTTTTGAAAACACTATTAATTGGGTTTAGGGAAGGAGGAGGGCGGGTCAGTTGATCGGTCAGTCAGTCGACAGCTGCCCATCTGGTGTATTTGGGCGAGAAGAACAGGCGTGAATAACACATCGCGAGAGAATTTGAGATCTTAAAAAGCGTACACAGCAGCCTCTGTTGTTGCAAAAACAAAAGCTGCAAAAAAATTTAAAAAACAGCTCCTGGGACATATTTAAAGCTCTCTAGAAATTTCTATAGTGGTACATTTTCAGAATGAGCGTGGGTTTAAAAAACATTATAAACAATCCCATAGTGTATATGCTCATGTGGTTGAATGAACACTCACAAGAGACCACCAAATCTATGTCTACTGACTGAACATGCAGTCATTATGGAAAGGCACACCAAAAACATAAGTTTTATTAAACATGTGCAAGTATGGTCTGTTTGATACATTTACTTTTGGGACCTTTTTCACTGCATTCCATACCTACTGTAGTACCTGCTACTTTTTTATTTGCACCTCGGATGAGGTTCCAAGTGAGCTGTACCATTACTAAATGTTATGTACTGTATACAAACTGCATATCACTGCTTGGTCAGAGAGAATTGCCACTTTCAGCATTGTTGCATTTACAACATGAGTCCTATTGGTTCTTATAACTAAACCGGCCACTTATTTATAACTTACTTATGTTGTGTATAACCTAATGCCATGGCAGTAGAGGCAGCATGACAACAGGGATAATTCCACCCACTTTGACCAATACTAAAATACAAGAAGTTTTACCAGAGGCGAAATGGTCATGTCTAACTGAGCCTGGTTTCTCTCAAGGCTTTTTTTCCTTAACATTCGTCAATTGGTGAAGTTTGTTCCTCGCCACTGACTTGCTTGTTCTGGGACTTGTGGAGCTGCGCATCGATGGATTTGCTCTTAACTAAACTAAACTGAACTTCAACTTTGAAAACTGGATTGACGGATTCAATTTTCTAGAACTTCTTTGTAAAGCTGTTTCGACACAATTTACTTAGCAAAAGGGCTATAGAAATAAAGATGAATTAAATATTAATTAAAATGTATAATGTTATTATTAGTAGTAGTATTTTTTATTATATGCATATTTATATTTGCTTTATTAAAAACAAACTTGGATGTGTCCACCTGTCAGGTTTTAGACCATATGGGGCATAGCATGTGTATTTGGATATAACTTTTTAGAACACACTTTGTTATCATTGTTAATTTATTTGTTTGCTTGAAATTAGAACTGAATTTAGAAAAAGTTTTATAAAAAATCTTTGTGCTTAATAAACAAAATTAATAATTTATAGTCTAATGGATGTCTGTGCGTACAACACGTTTCCCTATCCACGAGAGTGAAAGTGAACGTAATCAATGAGGAGGCTCATCTCAATCTGGCGCTGCAGATGCTCTGTTTAACTGTTTTTTCTCTAGTGAAATGCTCAGTTTTTCCACTTACAAAGTTTGTCATGTAAATAGCAAATGCACCATGAGACTCGGAGAGACCCCATGAGAGATGAGACTCTGATTGGTTTATTCTCAAAACACACCCATAACTCATTAAGAGAATAAGCTCAACTCTGTTAGACCTTGCGCCAAAACAGATGTTTCAGTCCTTAAAATAGCAAAAGTGGACTCAGGCACGCCCTTAATGCCTGGATCGTCAAAATAGAGCCCCTAGTGTTTGTTGATTCTTGATATATAAAAATGCTTTTCACAGATGTAATATTAAGGAACTGACTTGAAATCTTTCTTTCAGGAAAAGGAAAGGCTGGCCAGTCTGGAGAGAAGATACCAGAGTTTAACTGGTGGAAAGACGTTCCCCAAAAGCTCCAATACTATAAAGGAGGTAAGCAGGATTTATAGTGATTTACAATAACTGCTAAATATTTGCTTCTCAGCTTAAAATGGGAATTAATTTGTGGGTTAACATATCTTTAAAATCTTTGGCTGATGTGGCCTATAATATGTTGATTTTCCAGTCCAGCTTTCTTGGTTAGGAAAAGGAAAGCCATGAGGTTTAGCTCTTTTAGCCAGATGTAGTCAATGCATCCCTGCACGTGCCATCCTGTTATAATTAGGTTAGCGAAACAGGAAATGAAATCTGTTAGACTCCGGATATTGTTTGATTTGTAAACCTCCGCCCAGGATGTGCTTCACATCAGCGAGGCTGACCTGTTAGACGATGAACTCCCCTACTCCTCCTTCTCCTCTTTTCATGCTTCCTCATTCCACTCATATCCCATGGTGCCTCAGGAGGTAACTTAACTAACTGTCGATGCATACAGCCTGGAGCAGCAAAAACTGCCAATACTGACTGAAACGTGCTCAGGGAACATGCCAATGCAAGATATCTCAATTTGTGTTGCATTATTGAGAGCACTTGGCTTGTCTGGGATTTATGTTTTGGCACTTCCAAAAGAAAAACAGCACTTCCTTGGAAAAATTTGGAAGGGGTTTGGTGGTTTTGCAAAGAACTTAAACATTATTTTTTAGTAACTATTTCTGTGAAGGCTATACAGATTATGAGGGTGTTGTAAATATACAGTTGAAAGACAAATTATTATAAAAATGCTCTTTAACAGATATAATATTTTTGCTACACATTTTTAAACATAACAGTTTTAATAACTAATTATTTTGTTGTTGCAAAGATGACAGTATATCATTATTTTAATTGTTGTTTTGCAAGACAGGAGTATTTAGCTTAAGTTTATTAGGTTAACTAGGCAAGTTACGACAATTCGGCAAGTCATTAAGCAAAAATGGTTTGCTTTGTAGCCGACTGAGAAAAAAAACTAAGGACTAAGGTTACTAGGACCTAAGTACAACGTTATTTTGACGTCCAATAACAACATGAAATGACTTTGATATTTGGTTGTGTTGGAAAGTGACCAAAATCCAATGTCAAGCGAACATCTTAAACCAGCATAATATTGATGTCAGATACCAACATTTATTCATCAGGTATGGCAACCAAAATCTAACGTCTGGTAGACATCATATTGGTAACGTCCACATAATGTCATGCTGTAACTTCATTAGACGTTAATATTTAGTCTGCTTTGGAGAGTAACCACAATACGCCGTTGGACATTGACGTCGGCCTGACATTGGGTTTTGACGTCAACCTGATTTTCATTTCTAAACAAAATTCAACGGCTCACGACGTTGGGATACAACATCAATCTGATATCATGTTGATGCCCTGTGCCTGCTGGGAAAACTTTCTCCAGAAGAAAAAATATAATAGTAAATACTTAAATATTTTCCTGATTTTGTGGGAAATGTTTGAAACATAATTAAAATTTCATAAGAGGGCTATAAATTTTGACTTCAACTGCATAATGCATGCATAATGGCTTCTAAAGAATGTTAGAGTGTGTTGGAACATTTCATCATTACTTTTAGCAACAGTAATAATAGTAATTAACATAATAATACTAATTATACAATTTTATTCAATTAAGGTCTGGATTATACAGTATTTCCGATAATTTAATATTGTCTGGTTTCCTAAGGTTTCATTTGTTGTCCTAATCTCTTGCAGTTAAATACACAACACAAATGGAAATATGGGTGAAGTCAGAATTATTAACCCACCTTTGAGTTATTCTTTCATTTTTAAATATTTGTCAAATGATGTGTAACAGAGCCAGGAAAATTTTCACAGTATATCGGATAATATTTTTTCTTTTAGAGATAAAGTCTGTTTTTTTTTTTTTTACTAGAATTAAAGCAGTTTTTAATTTTTTTAAAAACATTTTAAGGTCAATATTATTAGCCCCTTTAAGCTATATATATATATATATATATATATATATATATATATTGATAGTCTACAGAACTAACTAATTACCCTGCCTAGTTAACCTAATCAACCTAGTTAAGCTTTTAAATGTCACTTTAAGCTGTACAGAAGTGTCTTGAAAAAAATCTAGTCAAATATCATTTACTGTCATCATGGCAAAGATAAAATAAATTAGTTATTAGAAATGAGTTATTAAAACTATTATGTTTAGAAATGTGCTTAAAAAATCTTCTCTTCTTTAAACGGAAATTAGGGGAAAACAAGCAAGGTTTTAACAAGGTGCATTGAAAAAATCCTTATAAGGCATTATACACACAATCTTCAGAGAAATAGTTTTTTTTGGCAGGCAAGAAAAAACTACATGCAGATTTACTCATTTGAATGAATTAGTTTTCTTGGAAAGTTAATATAAATGAACCAACTCAACAACTGATGTACAACATTTGTGACAATATAAGATATGTTAAAGGGTTATTTCACCAAAATGAAAATTCTGTTATTAATTACTCATTCTCATGTCGTTCAATCTAAGAACTTCGTTCATCTTCAAAACACAAATGAAGATATTTTAGATGAAATCTAAGAGCTCACTCATCCTCCATTGACAGCAATGCTCATGAGATGTTCAAAGTGTTACTTCAGTGGGTCAACTGTCATCATATAAAGCTCCAAGAACAGTCCAGCTCACAAAATCTGAGTTGCTTTTACAGGTTTTGATCAAAAATATCTTAATTTGTGCTCTGAGGATGTAAGAAGGTTTCAGGAGATTGCAAGGACATGAGAATGAAGAAACGTTAATTCTATCATGCTAATGTGGCTACATTTAACTAATATTAACAAACATTTCAGTAATATTGTGAAATATTGTCACAATAAAAATAACATTGCATTTTACTGCATTTTTTTGTGTGAAAAAGCTTTGGTTGAATCTTTGAAAGAGAGCATAAAAGCTAGATTTTCGGATTTGATTTCACTCTGTAGTCTGACAAGTAAATAAATTTGAGTAAATTCTGAGTAACCTGTAATTTTGCTTTTGATATTTACTTATGAAAAGTTAGATGAAGGAATGTCGCTGTTGTAGGAGTTTTCACTGTTGGTGTATGACTAAGTGACAGATCTGCTCTCGTATGGTTTGGATGTGAGTAAACTGACAGCTGAACTTGTGTCCCGCGTGAATGGGTTGGCTAATGTGTCTCAGGAGTACTTGAAGCTGTCGGATGTGTATAAGATGTATGGGAGTGAATGCCATGACATCCAGCTCGCCAGCGCTTCCTCACACGGCCTCTCGCTTGCCCTTGACCCAGCTGAAACTGCCCCGCGTGAGGTATCAGAGCTGCCCTCCACTTTCTGCTTCTCTGTTCTTAGCCATTTTCCTTCTTTCTTACCTTCAGTGTAACAGTACATGGCCATTAGATATCCCCGCTGTCATATACATTGTAATAGTTATGGTTATGCTACAAAAGGGGTGCTTTTTCTTGTTTGATAAGGAGATTTATTATAATCATATTAATGTGTTTCAGTTTTAATAAGTTGCACTATACACTGGGAAGTAAATCAAGGGAATATCAAGTAAATGTGCTGTATTTTAATTTTATATTTGTTAAGTTTGAATCAGGGTTATTATTGTTAACTAAAATAAAGCTATTAACCATTTATTACAATAAAATACATTTAAAAACAAGGGGAAACACTATACAATGTGGTTCCTTTAATTATTGTTACTTACTAACACGAACAAACAATAAACTATACATTTATTAAAGTATGTACCTTTGTTAATGAAAATAACTGATGTTAACAAGCACTTCTTTATATTTTAATAATGCATTAGGAAATGATGAACTATGATTATTGCTATACAAGTATTTTTCGTTCTTAGTTCATATTGTTGACATACTTTATCTAACATTAACTAATGCAGCATTATTGTAAAGTGTAATCAAACAAAATGCAAATTTCAAATATTGTTTGGGCAAATAAGTGTATTACTTATTTAAAGAAAATCATTTAATAAGAAAATTTAACTAATTCAGATTTGTAATAATGTAAGTACCATGCTAGTTTGTTTATATATTTTTATAACGTGTTTATATTAAATAGTTTCTAACACAGAAGGAAAACGTGTTGGAACAAATCAAAAAAATACAAACAGCACCCGTTTTATAGAATGACCCAGTAATTGACAATCCTGCAACAAATTCAAATGACTTTTTGTCCTAACCAGCTGCATTCTGTCATTCAATTTGTTTTCTTTTACACTGCAAATAGGTGAAATCACATTCAAATAAAATCTCATTCCACATAGCTGTCCATTAAACATCACATGTTCTCTGATCGACTGTGTTTGTTATACAACCTGACACTGGAAATCTGACACATTGCGTCCAGTGAGGACACATCATAAAGGCTAATCTTTAAAGAAATTAGAAACTGAATAGTTTTGTTGCATTAATAATGTACTCTAGTTAATAATTAAAACTTTAATGTTTCCTTATATATATATATAACCTTTCATGAATTATAATATTGCTCTTGTAAAAGTATGTCCTAAATTCCAAACCTGCTTCAACACACTTACCTGTAGGTTTCAAACAAGCCTAAAGGACTTCATTAGCTGGATTGGATGTGTTTAAATAGAGTTGAACTAAACTGTGCAGAGCTGTGGCTCTCCAGGAACTGAGTTTGACACTTATCACGTATCTTAAATGATCTTCCAAAAGAGAGAATTGATTCTAAACTACCTGAAACAAGGCATCGGTAATTCCAGTCTTACTTTCTACATGGGCTTGTAACAAATGTGCCCCTGGACCTTAAAATCAGAAATTGAGATGTATACAGATCACAAAAACAACACATACAAATGGAAGATAGGACGAAATTTAGCTGAGATACAAATATATTTAAAAATCTGGAATCTCTATACCGAAAATATCAGCATTAAAGATGCAGAGCAATGTACATTACCAATTGAGATTAAATATATTTTCTGTAAGAAATGTACAAAATATATGCATGGAACATGATATTTACTTAATATTCTGATCATTTTGGCATAAAAGAAATAACTATTAATTTGATCCATTACTTTGTATTTTTGGTTGTTTCCACAAATATACCCATGCAGCAAAAGACTTGCTTGTTTGGTCCAGGGTTACAAATTTCAATATATCAACACAAATGGCCCATTTCCACTAAGTGTACGGTACGGTTCGGTTCAGTACAGTAAGCTTTTATGACCTTTTCCACTGTCGAAAGGTACTTAAAAGCGAACCACACAATACCACTTTTTGGGTACCCTTTGTAATAATTACTTTCAACCAGAGGTTATATGTGCTGGTCAGGATTTAAGACACAGATGAGAGGTTTGCACTGACTGTAGGCTAAACGTTGCGTGTTGGTTTTAAACCCAAATAAGGACTTAATGTATGGTGTGTGCAGTTTTTCTGTAATTGACAACATATTGGAGACTGTAAGAGTTTGTATGTGTTCATATTTGCTGGATTTATTTATTTATTTTATGTAATCGCAGTGCTTCTCATATGATATATGAACTTTGACAATTTACTTTGTCATTTTCTTGAGCGAGAATAATGTCGACTGAAACTTTCTGTGGTATACTGCGCCCACCAAAATGGTACCATTGGTAGCCTTTTAGCAGTGGAAATGCAAGCCTGATAAAGGTGACACGTACCGACCTGTACGTGTCATTGTACCACTTTAAAATACATTCAAAATTTGTCTGATTTCAACACAAATCATTTATAACAACACTTTTAAATTGAAACAGTAATACTGACAACACTGATACTCATTTCTACTTGATACTTAATTTATTGCTTCTCATGTTCACGTTTGCTTGCTTATAATAGAGGCCCTTTAAAACCATGTACTTGCAATACCTTTCTTAACAGTTGCTAAGCTCTCCATAACACCTTATCTTCTCTTTCCTGCTTTGCTCCTTCTTTTCTGTTCTCTCTTGCTACCTGTGTCCGTGTTTCACTCCTGGATGTCAGGAGTATGTGACGGTCAGCCAATTAAACCAGATGTACGGGATGCCAAAGGTGGAGTCTTCCCCTACCTCACCCGTCCAATCAGTGCAGCCCTCTCTCGCAGACTCCACCTTCCCCCGCCTCCCTTCCCCTCATGGCTCCTCCCTCTCTCTCTCCTTCGAGGTGTGTCTCTCGTCTGCTCATCCTGTCATCGGTCAGCTCGTTCATTCAGCTCATTAACACTCGTTCTCTCTCTCTGTCATCTCTTTGTTCTTTATCCGGCTTGTGCTCTATGTGCTTGTGGATGTGTTAAGCGTCAGTCAGACTGGGGCAGGCCTCAGATGCCCGTGCTAGATTTAGAGCACTGGTACCAGGAGGTAATGGCAGCTGGAGATGTAAACCAGCTCTGCCCTCCTCCATTGCCGGCTAAAGCTTTCTCATCATCATCATCATCACCACGCAGGCCTGTGCAGGTAACAGTCACAAGCTCAGCTGTGTTTCACACTCTTCTGCCTCTCCACGTGTTCATATTTCATCTTCACGGGCCTTTTTTATAATGATTTATTTGAGGAAGAGTGTTTTTGTGCATGCGTTCTGGTTTGAGTTGTTTATTCATTTTGGTCTGTTGTGGCTGCTCGTTGATTTTTTTTTGTTCTTCTACTTCAGTATTGTGTGGAGAATTGTAGGTTTTTATTAAAGGGATTAGTTCACCCTGAAATTAAAATTCTGTTTTTAGTTAACGCTTTTACTGTTGTTGTTCTGAACCTAAATTAATTTGATTCTTCATTGAGACACAAAAAAAGATGAGAACAATGTTCAAGCTGCTCTTTTTTCCAAATTCCAATTTATTCACCCATCAGTTGTTCAAGATCTTTATGAGTTATGCTGTTGAACACAATTGAGGAATTTTGAAAATCAGTTTCCAACATTCTTCAAAATGTTTTCTTTTGTGTTCAGCAGCAGAGAAAATCTTAAGCAAGGTTGAGGAAATTATTTATATATACCGTTGAAGTCAGAATCATTAGCCCCCATTGAATTTTTATTCTTTTTTTATTTAAATATTTAAATACTGGTTTTCCCAAATGATGTTTAACAGAGCAAGGAAATTTTCACAGTATGTCTGATAATATTTTTTCCTCTGCAGAAAGTCTTATTTGTTTTATTTAGGCTAGAATAAAAGACGTTTTTAATTTTTTAAACATCATTTTAAGGACAAAATTATTAAGCCCTTTAAGCTATACTTTTTTCGATAGTTTACATAACAAATAATGTTTACTTTTTTTATTTAAAAAAAAAGTTATAAGAGCCTGGAGGTATTACAGACTTTGCAAATTCAGTTTGCAGACATTTGTAGGTACATACATCTATTGTGTGCGTTCTTGCCATTTTTTCTTGTGTTTTTAATATTGTCCATATTGATATCGGAACTGTATCGTATCGACTGAAATTAAGAAATATATCGTGATATAATTTTTTGCCATGTCGTCCAGCCCTAGGGGAACAGAATTAATTTGTTTTTGTTATTAGGCTCTAAGGATTTTGCTTGATAGATGTCAATTTTGTTGTATAGAAAAGAGCAGCTTTGACATTCTGCTAAATATCTTATGATAAAATAGTTAATAAATTATTTCAGCATTTACATTTTTGGGTAAACTATCCCTTTAAGTACAGCAGCTTTTGACTGGTTATGCATGTTTGTTGATGCACTGTGCAGTGTTGTGTGTTCAAATATGTAGATTACTGTTTAAGCATTTATGGTTGGTAAGATTCCTTTTATTTTCTTATTTATTTTAATAGCTTTTGCTGCTTTTTTACAATAGAAATATTACAAATGTCTAACCTGTGAGTTATTTAACAACAACAAAAATTATCAAACATAATTAATAAAAAAATCCTCATAACTCTAAACTTTTAAAAGAAAATGTCCGCAAAAATGTCCTTATAAACCTGCTTATGAGTCAAGGATAAATTAATTAATTATCACAGTTCAAAGCTCCAGCGACACGGTGGCTCAGTGGTTAGCTCTTTCAGCTGACAGCAAGAAGGTCGCTGGTTTGAGAGCCGGCCGGGTCAGTTTACATTTCTGTGTGGAGTTTGCATGTTCTATCTTGTTTGCGTGAGTTTCCTCCGGATGCTCTGGTTTCCCTCACAGTCCAAAGACATGCACTATAGGTGAATTGAATAAACTAATTTGGCTGTAGTGTATGTGTGTGAATGAGTGTGTATGGATGTATCCCAGTACTGGGTTGCAGGTAGAAGGGCATCCGCTGTGTAAAAGACATGCTGGATAAGTTCATTTCGCTGTGGCGACCCCTGATGAATAAAGGGAGTAAGCCAAAAGAGAATGAATGAATGAGTACAAAGCTAAGCAGCAGTTATCACATCTTAATTGTTCAATATAAAGCAATGAAACCTGTTTAACATTTAGGATACTATGATTACTATATATAGAGTATGGGTAAATATGGACACTTTTTTCTGAGTGCCTGTACCGCCATAGTGATAAAAGCCTACTATATTTGGGCTTTACGGAAACTCTTCATTTATTAACGTGTGAACTAAAGAAATGAGTTTCGCATTAGTAAACTGAAAAGGCAGCACTTCAGCTCAGATGTTTGTATCCTGCAGGTGTACAGATCTCGACTGGACAGTGATTGCAGCCAATCCTCACTTAGACCGAAAGTCAGCGCCGGTTTGTCTCCTACATACACGACGGCCACGCTGGGACGAAACAGTCCTGCCAGGGTAAATACTTTGACTGTCCTTTAGCCTCACGCCAGTGTAAACGCAATCCTTTACACCCATTCCAGAGTAAATATACTGCATTTACTCCCCAGTTATAAGAGGTAAACTGTCTCAAAACAAAAACATCAGATTTTTTTTTTGACTAACGGATTAGAATTTGTTGGGTATGTCTAAACATTAAAATCTCTGATCTGTTTTATTTCACATTTGGCCTGAGAACAGATCAACTGAATGATTTTAGGATGAGGATTAATATAATAGTTCACATTTCTATATCCACTTGTATTTTCGGAACCAGATTGGAACACAAAAGAAGATATTTTAAAGAATGTTGGGGGAAAAAACAGCAATTGATTTCCATACTGTGGATATCAATGGCTGCTTTTTTCCAACATGCTTCAGAATATTTTTTTTTGTTCAACTAGAGAAAGAAATGCAAAGTTTCTATTTTGACTTTCTCTTTAATGTAAACATATGAATTGCTGTTTCTTTTTTTTCTAAAGCAGACGTGCACGAAATGCAAATTTATGATGGAAATGTTTTAGCCTATGTTTGTAAAAATTTAGCACTGCTTGAGAGCAATAACTGTTTCTATTTTTGTAATGAAACTAACTGCATCAATACATAAAAATCATGTACCAGTGCAGATTCATAAACATACTCTCCGTCTCTTTCTCTCATGTTGATTTATTAGAATGAATTCAAGTAGATCTATGTAAACAGTTTATATAAAATGCATTTTATATCCCAGTGTATATCCCTTCAATCAAATTTCGCACTGCAAATATCCATAACCAGTTAATATAAAAATAAAATATATTAGTAGATTCGCATTAGGCTAAATAATTTTAGTAACACAATTATTAAAAAACCATTAGTGAACCATATGGATAGTAGTAAAGTATTCACCAACAAAAATAATGATAGGTGGAGATGTAAACACAGATATCAGATTCCAGCCTTGTTTAAAATGATTGTTAACAGTCAGAACAAAAATAAAAATTGACCCAAAAATCCTTTAATACTGAGATTTAATTATTGTTGAATATGCTGGTGTAAATAATTGTTTGTTTTGTTTACTCAGAGTCCTCTGATGGTGGCCAACAGCACCGGAAGTCTCCCACGCAACCTGGCAGCCACCCTGCAGGACATCGAGACCAAGAGACAGCTGGCTCTTCAGCAGAAAGGTAACAAGAGACACGGATCAGAATAGACATTTGAATTCATGAATGAAGTGTAAGAAATAAAGGTTTATTTATTTAGTTAGTTTCTTTCTAAATGATGACAGTATCGATCAAGTTAGGAAAGGATTCAGATGAGCTCATTTAATATTTGTATTCAGGGCTTGACATTAACACCCGCCAAATGTGGGCAGATTTCAGCTGTGGCAGGTTAGATAGCTGCTCCTACTAGCCATTTGGGCTATTTGAAAATTATTTTAAATTGCTATTGCTGGCTCGTCATTAAAGATTAGAATGTTAGTTTATGACTGTTTGTCAATATGCGTGCAAATGTGATCGTAGAATCAAGAAGCAGCAAGACTAACAAAAATAACTGTTCGCGCAAGCAAAAAAACAGGTGAATAACGATTGAGAGGATGATCATGCGCACGGTGCGACACAGGGGATCCACCTCACCCACTAATAAAGGCTTTAGTGTCACATGCATCACGTCAGCTGTGATGCACAAGTGTTTTAAAGCTTGCGCACTCTCGTTTTGTTTGTACGAAGCAGGCGTGACTGGAAATGCAACTGGTACGATTTGATGTTTTTGAAATAGACTGGAAAAATGCAATGCTCGTGCATCCAAGTCAGGCTACTTTCGAGAGCTTGAGATTCTTTGTCACTGAAGCAGTTGTCACTTTCGGTTCTTTAGACATGTTATTAATGGGCCCGTGTCCGCACGATCATCCTTTACCATTGTACTTTTTACCTGCTTTCTTTTGCTTATAGTTATTTTAATAATTAATAAGTGGTTTAATTATCACACTTTACTACAACATTGCTTTAATAGGAGATTACCTCTGAATTTATGTACAGTATACTGTTGATCTGGGATCTTTAGCCAGCTGGGACCACAGACCACTATGCATAGTTTTTGATTCATGAGAATTTTTTTTTTTTTTTAAATATCAATTGTTTAAAAAAAACTTTTGAGCCCAGAAAAGTCATGTGAAATAAAGTTAATTGCAATGCGATACTATGAAACCACAGCTCATTTCCTCATGCTCATTGAGCAAGGTCATACACAGAAAAAAAGTCAAATGAATAAGGAGGCTTGTGGACATAAAAAAAAAAAATAATAATCAAGTAAATTTAGCCTGCCAAAGTCAAATTTATGCATATAAACGATATTTTCCCAACCACAAAATTGTGGCTAGTGAAAAAGGCGAGTGACTAGTACTGTACTGTTGAGAAAGTATTAGCCACAGTGGCTAGTGATCACAAAAGTTAATCTCAAACCCTGTTTGTATTCTTAGGAATAAACTTGCTGAAATTACTGATGTTTTAATTATAAATAATATTCACATTTTAGCTGTAACAAAAACACAGACTTTCTCAGATGATGTAGTCAACGTAAATGGTTTCATCAGTGACTGGCAATGAGCATCATACTTAGCTCAAAGGGAGATCTACTATAAAAATCATCATTTACTCTGTCCTCGTGTCGTTCCAGAACCACATGATCTTTTTTATTTCCACATAGATTTATTTCTTCTATATTTGTTGATTAAGGGATGCCAGATTTCTTCGGTTATTTTCTTTTGTTGTGTTTGATCTGTTGTTGTGGCTTACCCTCGAACAGAAATCTTGCCCTCCTCCTCATCCTTCAGTACGGACCGTCCCGCAGGTAGAGCCAGCTCTAAGCAGAATCGCACCTCTCTTCATCATCATTCTCCTCATTTCTTTCTATTCTAGCTCAACATTTTGTGCACTTCTTCACCCAGTTAAATGGACCTGACAGTGCCCAAATGTTCTTTTTTTTCCCCAGTTGTGCATGGAGAATAAGTGGTAATCTTTTATTTTTAAGCGCTTGATATTCAAATATAACAGCAGTTAAATTAGCAGATCAGCTATGTAACCTTTATTTTTTTTGCACAATTTTTAGTTTTTGCATCATTTAAAAAGATAACAAATCTTTATTTTATTTAATTTCAATTTATTTTAAAGCTCAGACCAGTTAGGTTTTTATTATTATTTTTATTATTATTATTATTATTATTATTATTATTATTATTATTATTATTATTGTTGTTGTTGTATTTAATTTTATTTCATTTAAGCTAAGGTATAAGATCAATTTAGTTAGTATTTTGTATTATGGATGGAAGTGTATTTTTTTAATAATGCACTAATGTTGTTTGAAAGGTTTGAAAATATATTTTATCTAACTTTATTAAAAAATAACGTCTTTATTTAGTTGACAACAAATTCAGTGTAGATTTTGATAATTCGAAAGTTTAATGTTTGTAAGATTTTTCGTTCTTTTTTATAATTACATTTTTTTAAGAATATATACTTGTTCAATAAAAAAATCACAACTGTAGATTCTTTATTTTTGATTATTTAACAAAATCATTGTAAACGTTTTTCCCTGCTTTTGATGACTACAGTATCATTCATAAATGTAATAAAAAATAGACACATTCAAACTTTTTTACTGGTTTTGAATTTAAGTATTAAAACATACTTGGGCTGTTTACCCAGCACACATATAGTATGTTACATATTTTTATATGTGTACGTGTGAGGCATGATGGAGTGAATCGTGGGAAATCTGAGCCATCCTAAATGGATGTGCAGTCACTTGGGTTTCAAAGCACCATGCAGTCTAACAGAATTTGGCAGCTTTCAAATGCTTATCTGGTTCACTGTTTTCTATGTTACATTATTTTATTTTATCTTAATTTTAGAGCTGCACAATATCAAAAACAAAAAAAAAAACATGACATTTCAATATGTATTTGCTTTTTTCTGTGATATACATTATTATATGAATATAATTTCACCGGATGACTTGAATAGCTCTATTTTTAAAGAATTCATACATTTAAATTGATCAGAATATTCTGTAGGAAGGGAAGTGGATCTGCATAAAATATACTAAACAAATTACAAGCATAGATAAATGAAATAAAGCGAGGATAAATGTGAAATATGCAGTGTTTTATCGTTGTCTGGGGAATCTAACAGTATTCAGACAGAAATGTAACAATCAAATGTAAAACTACACTGCATGGTTCTTCATTGTGTTAATAGCCTCATTCTAAGCTCTTTAAGATGCATCATTCATTAAGCCCAAATGGCTTAAAATCGTTTAAAATGCCTACACTGACTTTAAAACATGCAAAGGAAACTTTCACATTAAGGTTAAACTATATATTGTGCAGCTCTATTTGATATTTATCAGCTTTTTTGCAGTTACTATATTAATTCCCTATCAGTGCTGGCTTCTTTTTTGAGCTGTGTCTCTGAACATCATGTATATGTGTTGTGTGTCCTCCTCAGGTCAGCAGGTTATCGAGGAGCAGCGCAGGCGTCTGGCGGAGCTGAAGCAGAAAGCTGCAGTGGAGGCTCAGTGCCAGTGGGAGGCGCTGCACGGCTCTCAAACGCAGCTCCACCAGCCCTTCTCATCAAGCCCAGCACCGGCGCTTCACCACTCCATCCTGCACCACACAGCGCCCCCTTGCGGAGAGCAGCCGTACGACACGCTAAGCCTGGAGAGCTCGGACAGCATGGACACCAGCATCTCTACTGGAAACAACTCGGCCTGCTCGCCGGACAACATGTCCAGGTCTGTCGCTCTCTCCGAATGCTTAGCCAATGGCTCTGTGACAGAAATCACTGGCGCTTCCACAGCTTCTCGCTACATGCTTGAACTGAGATAAATGATCAACCATCTGTTTAATGACTATTACTTAGTACGAGCCAATTCAAATGATTTTGACTCCCAATTCATAGGGAGTGTAAATAAATCTATTTAATTATTATTTTTTTATTTAACTAAAATAATGCTTGATTTTGTTTTTGTTATTAATTAATTTGTATTTTTACTTGCATTTTATTCCTACAGGTTTCCTACACACATCCATGTGAATTTATATATATAGTTGATTCAGAATTATAAGCCCCCCTTTGATTTTCTTTTTCTTTTTTAAATATTTCCCAAATGATGATTAGCAGAGCAAGGAACTTTTCACAGTATGTCTGATAATATTTTTTTCTTCTGGAGAAATTCTTATTTGTTTTATTTCAGCTAGAATAAAAGCAGTTTTTATTTATTTATTTTTTATTTTTTATCATTTAAAGGACAATATAATTAGCCCCTTTAAGCTATATATTTTTTTCGATAGTTTACAGAACAAACCATCATTATACAATAACTTGCCCAATTACCCTAACCTGCCTAGTTAACCTAATTATCCTAGTTAATCCTTTAAATGTCACTTTAAGTGTCTTGAAAAATATCTAATAAAATATCATTGACTATCATCATGGCAAATCAGTTATTAGAAATGAGTTATTAAAAGCATTATATATAGAAATGTGTTGAAAAAATCTCTCCGTTAAATAAAAAGTGTTAAAAACAGTTAACTGGGGGGTGGATAATTCTGACTTCAACTAGATATATATATATATATATATATATATATATAGTTAGATTAATAATTTGAATTCATTTTAAATCTCTAATACAGTTCTATATTTATTTAGATATAAGTATTTAGTTAAATGTAAATATTACCTCTTATATGCAAATACTGTATGACACTCAATATTTACATTAAGATTTTTATTTGAAGTCCTAAAGTTTTAGCTTTGAATAATAAAAACTTAAAAAAAATTTAACTCATTGCTGGAATTAATTATATTTAAAAATGTATTCAAAATGAAACTAGTTATTTTTAAAGAAAATAATATGTTGTATTATTACAGAATTCTCTGTATTTTTTTTTATTAAATGCAGTCTCTGTGAGCATATACTGTATAACACATCGTTCAAGAAAAGAAAAACATCTAACTTACTCCAAACCTCTGAGCAAGAGTGTATATTTTAATTTTATTTACATAAAACAAATAATCAATATTTTTAATATTTTTTGTCTGGAAATTGTTTGAGGTTTTATAACGAGTTTTTACAGTGAAAAGTTTTTGTAATGTTCTAAAATAATACAAAAAAGAAATAATAATAAAGTTGAATTTGGCTTGAAGATTAAAATGTGATCTTCTGCTTTGTCGTGTCTCAATTTCACATTTTTTTAACCAATTGAAAATTTCCTTGTGAATAAAAGTAACACTTCCTAAACTTTAAACAGTATAAAATATCCTCAACAGTAAATATTATATACAGCATATAAACTAAAACAAACTGATTTAACATCTGTACGATGAATAAAATCATATAACGCCCCATCCACATGAAACGGTGTGTAATGCAGTGTGTTTTGGCTGTGTGTAGAAACTCTGTGCATCAGAATGCAGCTCTCGTTCTTCATCCGCCTCAAAAGGAAAGAACAAATGAGCGTCTTTGATGCTGGAGGCTACAGATTAGACTGTTTCTGGCTTAAACGGCGTGCGTGAAGAGACACGTCTATAAGCTGGTAGGTTGTTGCTGGGTTAAACGTCAGCTTTCAGTTAACAGGGACACTCAGCGCGCACAGACGACTAATTGGACTTGCAAAAAATGTCAACAAAAGTGAAAAGACTTCTTCCATAAACACACGCCTGAGGTTTAACTGTTTGCTTATCCACCCTTCCTGTCCAAAACTAACTTTTTTTGCTCTTCATATTGCAGAAATATATTGTACTTGTGTCCGACTACACTCATATCTGAATCTGACTTTAATAAATAAGAGATTAGCTAGATGAGAAGGTAAATGTGAGTCATGGAGTGAAATTGAGAATTCAGTTCAGGAGTGTGTATTGAATTGAATCGGTCACGCCGCTGAGAATGTTTGAGCGCGGTTTGATTTGGAATGACAGGAGGAGGATTGCGCTTAATTATTATTCAAAGAAATGCGGTGCAGGCACATAACAGATTTCTTTCAGCACATGCATACAGGAAATGCATAATTAATAAGGCATGCCTGCTTTTTTTGTTGTTTGTCTCCATTTTGAGGGCTTTGGGTTAGATTAGAGCATTATGAATGATGAATAATGAATAGCATTACGAATAACATGAAATGGAAAGGATGAAGTGAATTAGAGTTAACAAAACGAACATTTGTTTGAATATGGTGTATTGTTTATGGATATTTTGAAAACGTATTTAACATTTAAAAAATAATATACTGATGTGTAAAATAAGTAAATATTGAAGTAAATTAAAGTAAAAAGCACTAAGAAGGGTTGCTCCGATCGATCGGCCACAGATCAGTATCGGCTGATAATCACATTTCAGGACTTGATCAGTACTCGCTAATCTGGCCGATCTCATGAACCGATTACAATTGCTTGTTTACAAGTTCACAAGCACAGGACATACAAGAACTGAAATGTTTTTACATATCAGAACTGAAAACTCTGTGTTTTCAGCAATGTTGCAAGTTCATTAAAACCTGGCTGGAAATATTAGGGAAATATATATACATTTTTAACTTGAATATTTAATAATATAACTTATCATAATTTACTCATTGCAATAAACAGTAGTTCATGAACCTATTTCCTTTTAGTAAAGTAATGGATTTATAGGTCTGCATTTTAACTTCTTATGCATCAAATATGCGCTCCAAACTTCAACACATGTTGAATTCTTCCGTCATTTGCAAATTGCTTTGTTTGGGATTATCTGTGTTATCTTTATTATTGTCTGTAAAGCTGCTTCTGACCATTACATGTTACACATAATGGTTAAAAGAGACATGTTTAAGGAATTATGTGCAACATCTTTAATATATTCTCTTAGGTAAGGCGAGATCTTCTCCTAAGTATCATTTAAGTATCATACATTCACAGGGAAAATGTGCTTTATGCATTTACAAAGCTTAAAGGATCAGAATCTATAATTGGTATCGGCCAATCACCATGGCAAAGAATTGGTACTTGGTATCAGCTGCAAAAATCCTGATCGGAGCATCCCTAGTACTAAATGTTCTGGTGTTTAATAACATGAATGGCCTGAAAGCAAAAAAAAACAATACAAAAAATGTATTGTAAATTTTGAGTTCAAAAGATATTTTTATTGTTCCTGAATAATGTCACTTATATGAACACCAAAGTTTTGTTTATCCAATAAAAAATAAAAAATAACAGTATAAAATATATAAATACATTTTCAAATAAGTTTTTGTTAACACTTTAGTTTGTCCCAATTCATGCTGTTAACTACTGGCTTATTAATTGCCTATTATGAAGATATTAACTGTTCATTAACACTTTGATCCTTAATCTTACCTGAAACCTAAACCCAACTTTTACTTTAAAAACTATTAATATACAGCTAATTAGTAGTTCATTAAGCTTATAGTGTTATTTAAGGGTTTGTTAATAGCGTGAATTGTGACCTAAACTAAAGTGTTTCCGATACTTTTAATGTTTTTGAAAGAAGTCACTTACACGCACAATAAATCTGCATTTATACAATTAAAAATAAAGTTACTCTAAAATATTATTACAATTTCAAATAAGTCTTTGGTAACACTTTAGTTTAGGTCACAATATATGCTGTTAACTACTGGCTTATTACTTGCCTATTATGAAGATATTAACTGTTCATTAACACTTTGATCCTTAATCTTACCCAAAACCTTAACCCAACTTCTACTTTACTAACTATTAATAAACAGCCAATTAGTATTTTATTAATCTAATAGTGTTAGTTAATGGCTTGTTAGTAGTGTGAATTGTGACATAAACTAAAGTGTTTGCTTATTTAAAAATATTTTTATCTGTATTTTTCCAAATTAATTTCAAAAAGAAGAAATATTAGTCAAATGACCATGCTGTGAACATTTGTTTAAAAACTGATAGATTTTTTTTTCAAGATTATTTAATGCAAATGAGTGTACATTTCCTGGAGAAAAAAAATGAAAAAAATTAAGAGAAACACTTTGCAATGATAGTTTGTTATTAGGACCTATGTTTGTTTATAAAATATTAGGCATTGACCTATGATTCTGACGGTATGATAACCTTGAATAAAAATATCACAGTTTCATGGTATTTTTATTACTGCTCTAAAATATATTCTTTTAAATGTCTGGGTAAAAAAATACTTTTTTTTTCTCTTGAACGCAATATATTTTATTTTAAGAAACATTTAAAATATTTTGGTACAGTAAACATGTCAGGCTAAATAATTCAAAGCAATCATTGACTTCTGCTGTCATCATTAGTTTCAAAAACACTGATTTCTTTATCATTTTAAACAGCATCTTAGGATATCTTTTCTGCTGGAAATACTTTAGTCCTATAAAACAAAACAAAAAATAAATAAATAAATAAATAAAGTTTTTTATGTATATCAGAGGAATAATATAACAGAAAATGTTGGCGGTTTTAAAACCGAGGTATACAGTACCTTGACAACGGTTAGCGTCCTGTGCCTATTTTTTATTTTATTTTACTGAATAAATGAATAAATTCTTTAAAAAATAAAACAATAAAAATAATTTAAATCTTAATTTGAAACTATTTAGTGTAAAAATGTCAGTGTATTATTAAAATCTACATTTAATTTTGCAGAATAAAACATTTTTTAATAAAGTTAAATAAAATATATCTCTTTCTGATTCTTAAACCTTTGAACAGTATTACTGCATTATTAAAAGTACACTCGTTAATCATACAAATGTATTATTTAAGTACACTTCCAGCCATCCCAGTGGACACCTTGATGTAAACAAAAACATCAGAATGAAAGCGTTTAAAATGCTAATCAATTTGATGACAATTAACTACCTTTATATCAAATTGACATACAACTCTGGTGTCCAAAATCTTTTTGACCGTAATGTAAGATGTTAATTTGATATCATTTTTGACATAAAAGTTACATAAATTGTAGAGATACAAAATGCAGTGTAATTTTAGAACTTGGGCTTCAAGCTTTCAGATAAAGAATAAACAACTCTCTCATGTCATAATACTTTTATGTCATTATTTTGTTGGTCAAAAGGCCATCAATGTGTGGATGTTAAGTAGACGCCAAGATTTTGACATCAAATTGATTTGCATTTTGTCAAGTTTTTTTGTCATTTTTACATCAAGGTACCCACTGGTATAAAAAAAAAAATCTCTCAGAATGCCGTTCTATTTGAATTTAGATCCAAATATTCAGAACAATTTCAGGAATGAACCGAATTCGACAACTCAATTTCAAAGGCGTTCTCATTTGGCTACAGAATAGCCTGCAACCCAGTTCAGCCCTTGACATGAAGTCTCCAGTTACAAGCTTCGTCATGGGGAAACGCGTGAAGATGCTGTAAACAAAAGGCAGTGAAGTACGGAGGAGCAGGACCGAGCGGGACACAGCGCTTTGTAAACACACGGCCTTCAGCTGTTTCTCTCTCACGAGACACTTTGTTTACTTGAAATGTTCTCAAGCAGTTTGTTTACTCTTGTCTTCATAAAGCTTCAAGCTACTCCGCGCGTCTTCTCCAGAGAAAAAAAATCCACTACACATTTTTCTCGTTCCGTGTTTATAGTCTGTGTGTGCTTCATTTCATGTTTCACGGCAGATTTTCATGCTTGTACTGTATGTGCAATCCGGCTGTATTTTCATATATGACGAAACGTTTCGTAATCTCACTTCTGCTGCTCTCAATTCCATCACTGATGACCGACGGGCACTATCGCCCAACGCTTGCGCAACTTAAATGTTGCTTCAAACGTAGTCGATTCTCCCTCTCAGTAAACAGTAGTTAATGGAGACTGACTTATTTTTTGTTTTTGTTTTGTTTTTTTTTTTGTGTTGGCAGTGCCAGCGGTATGGATGCGTTGAAGATTGAAGAGATGGAGAAGATGTTGAAGGAGGCGCAGCTGGAAAAAGCTCGGCTCATAGAGTCTAGAGTGAGTTGCAGTTGTCGATATGAAGTCGATATGGTAACAATATCCATCTGGGTGCATGTTTAATGAGTGTGTTCTGGGCGGCAGGAGCGAGAGACTCAGAGCCGTAAACTGATGCTGGAGGAGGAGCGGAGGAGGAGAGAGGAGGCCGAGAAGAGGCTGCAGGAGGAGACGCTGCACAGACAGCAGCTCATCGAGAAGGAGGTCAAGATGAGGGCCAGAAACTTCTCTCAGGTGAGCAGTCAAAGATCAGCGACGGGCCGGACGTCCGACTGATTTAATATGGACTGCTGTTTTATGCTGTTAAGTGTATTTAATTTAATCAAATTTTATTTTATTTTATTTTATTTGTATTTTTTATTTTATTTAGTTTTATTATTTTATTTAGTTTTATATTAATTTAATTTTGTTTAGTTTTTGTTTTATTTGGTTTTACTTTTTAAATTAAATTTTGATTTGATTAGATTTTTGCACTTGATTCTGATATATATCTAATATATATATATATATATATATATATATATATATATATATATATATATAAAAGAAATAATTAATTTTAAAGACTTTTTGATTTAAAATAATTACTCAATAAAGCGAAATAACGTTTCTTAATTCCATTAGTAATTCAATTATATGACATTTGTAAATTTTTTACATTTATATTTTTAATTATAAAGTTACAATCAAAATTTTTAATATGTTTTCTAAAACTATAAAGGGATCATACAGAAAAGAGTTTTTTTTCTCATTCTTTTTACTTTGTTTTTAAAAACATGTTTATATATTCATTGGAAATTATTAATTTAAATAAAAAAAAATTCCAAAAATGTCATTCATACAGAGAAGTAACATTAATTAATTCAATTTGTAATATAATTAAATGAAATTTGTAGTGTATCTTTATTAGTAAAGTAATATTTAAAATGCAAATAAAAATGCAGCAAATAATATAAAGTTAAAGTTATAAGTTTACATGTTTTCTAAAACAATGTAAAAGGAATCCTAAATATACATTTGTTTTATTTAGTTTGTTGTAACATAAGCTATTACTGACATTGCATAGATTGAATATTAAAAGCTAAATTAAACACATAAATAAATTAAAAAAATTTACAAGTGAACATTTTTTACCTTTTTTTTTATTTCTGCATGTTGATTATACATTTTTTCCCCAAATTTCTGTTTAACGGAGAGAAGATTTTTTCAGCACATTTCTAAACATAATAGTTTTATTAACTCATTTCTAATAACTGATTTATTTTATCTTTGCCATGATGACAGTAAATAATATTTGACTAGATATTTTTCAAGACACTTCTATACAGCTTAAAGTGACATTTAAAGGCTTAACTATGTTAATTAGGTTAACTAGGTAGGTTAGAGTAATTAGGCAAGTTATTGTATAACGATGGTTTGTTCTGTAGATAATTGATAAAAATAGCCTAAAGGGGCTAATAATTTTGACCTTAAAATTATTATTATTTTTTATCTAAAACTGCTTTTATTCTAGCCGATATAAAACAAATGAAGAAAAAATATTATCAGACATACTGTGAAAAATTTCTTTGCTCTGTTAAACATCATTTGGGGAAATATTTAATAAAAGAAAAACAAAATTCAGAGGGGGGCCAATAATTGAACTTTACTGCAATAGATAGTTTCAATCTTTTTTTGTCGGATTTGAGTTAATACTGTATGTTGCAATTCTGTCAGACTTGTTAGATTCAAAGTTGCAATTGCACCCTTTTTCATAATTCCACAGTGGAAACCGCTTGATTTCACAAAACAAATGTATTTTTTAGATATTAAGCAGTCACGCAATACGTCAACTTTTTTCTTGATTAAGAAACTTTAAAGAACTAATAAATCAGTTAATAATGAAACAATGAATAAATCATCCCAGTGATGAGTTGCAGCTGGAAGGGCATCCGCTGCGTAAAAACATATGCTGGATAAGTTGGTGGTTCATTCCGCTGTGGCGACCCCCGATTAATAAAGGGACTAAGCCAAAAAGAAAATGAATGAATGAATGAATCAGTGTTTACAAGCACTTCATTTTAGATTCATCATTGTATCTCAATGCTTTTGCAGGCCCGTCCGATGACCCGCTACCTGCCCATCCGCAAAGAGGAGTTTGACCTGCGTTCGCACATCGAGTCTTCAGGCCACAGCGTAGACACCTGCTACCACGTCATCCTCACCGAGAAGATGTGCAAGGGCTTTCTGGTCAAGATGGGAGGCAAGATCAAATCCTGGAAGAAGCGCTGGTTCGTCTTTGATCGCCTCAAAAGGACGTTCTCTTACTACGCCGGTACGTCGTCTTCCTTACTGCGCACTATGCTAATGCCAACGCGACGCTACGCTTTCGTCCCCCCTCGAGGTCGGGAAAAAAAAGAAACGAGGGCAGAACAAAGAGTGGATTGTGGGTGAATCCAGCGGTGGGGGGATACGGATAATTAGTAATTCTTAAGCTCACAGTGGCTGCCATGATTTCCGATAGCCTCGGGTTAGCCAGGGGCATACAAATAACCAGAAGCCCGTCCGCATGCTATCTGATGCTGATGAAATCTGCCGCAATGCTGAGGAAATCGTGCTCATCATCCAGCCGTGGCGCTCGGCAAAGCGTGAGCCTCGCTGCTTATTTCAGCACGGGGTGAAAAAAAATGAAGGGGTTTTGCAGCGCAGTAACAAGGTCACATCGGTGCTTAGCAGATCATTATTCTCCCGGGGACTAGGGGCTTATTTGTTTTTCAAACCATTGCGTGCAAAAACATTGTGTTAATCAGTGGTTTTGTCTTGTTTTTCTCCCCCCTCCAAAAAAAAACTTGGAAAAGGTTGTTTTCGGAGAATGTGTGTTGTTTGCTTTTTGCTACTCAAGTTAATTTGCCTTGTTTTGATGTTTTTCAGTCTCGTAATCTGCGATTAGAACTTGTAGCAGAAGCAGAAGAATCGCTCGCTTAGAAAAACGTTTGCAATTTAATGTGTTTTTCAGCAGCTTCTTGTTAAATGATGAATGTGAGGAAAAATCTGAATGTTTTTACTGCATTTAACACATTTTTATTTAATAAAAAACTTACTTTCAATTCCTATAATTAAGCCATTAAACACAAATGATTTTTAAAAATCAAAAACATTTAAAAGATTGTCAATACACAAAGTCATAACTATTAGCCCACCTGAGTTATTAGCCCCTCTGTTTATTTTTTCCCCAACTTCTTTTTAACAGAGAGAAGATTTTTTCAGCACATTTCTAAGCATAAGGGTTTTAATAACTCATTTCTAATAACTGATTTATTTTATCTTTGCCATGATGACAGTAAATAATATTTTTCAAGACCCTTCTATACAGCTTAAAGTGACATTATAAAGGCTTAACTAGGTTATTAAGGTTAACTAGGCAGGTTAGGGTAATTTATTGTATAATAATGATTTGTTCTGTAGACTATCAAATAAAGAATTTGCTTAAAGGGGCTAATGATTTTGACCTTAAAATGTTTTTAAAAACTGCTTATTTCTAGCTGAAATAAAACAAGACTTTCTCCAGAAGAAAAAATACTATCAGACATACTGTGAACTATTTTTATTTTTTTGCTCTGTTAAACATCATTTGGAAGATTTTTAAAAAGGATAAAAAAATTCAAAGTGGGCCAATAATTCTGACCAACTGTGTATTGTCTGAAATATTACATGAGCCATATAATAAAATTGCATCTGCATATTTTTAATATTTGTAGTAATATAATATAATAATGTGTTTTAATTATCCTGTAAATAAAACTGGTGTCTAAAATGAATCTTCCTGCATGCTCTTACGCATCATTGTCAATATCAAGAAATTGATGGAACTATATGAAGAGTTTAGATGCAAAAACCTCTAAATTCTTCTAAAATTAGCATTTTTCTCCAACTCCTGTGTGTAGGCTCAGTAATTTTTCTGTTGTAGTGACAAATAAGTTCTTTTCATTACCTTTCAAGTAAAATAACTAAACATAAACATAGAAGACTTTACTAAACATAAACATAGAAGATTTTAGGAGATTATGTCAGATGGCATTTAGAGGTTTTTGCGTCTGAACTCTTTATATTATATAAAATAACACCAATTGTATTCATACTAAGCATACATGTATTTCAAATAAATGTATTAGGATAAAAACACAGATACTTTAAATATCAGTACATGCGAGTTTACTTACATTCTTATAACTTTAAGTGTTTATTTAGGTGTTTTTTTTTCATATTATTAAAGATTTTTCCATTTTTTTAATAATTACAAATTTGAGAAATTTTAAAAACATACACAAAGTACAGATATATATGCATACCTATGTTTTTTAGCAAAGGAACAAAACTCAAAACTTGTTTTAAGTTACACTATATAAGATACTGCCAAAATAAAAAAATGAAAAGTATTTTTAGATGAAAGTGAAAGTTTAAAATTTTTTTAACATTTTTTTCAGTTATAAAGGTTTAGGGTTAATGCATTTCAATACATTCAAAATAAAAAAAATATATGTTTTTTTAATGAATTACATAAATTATACAGAAATACAGAAATATTAACATTAGTTTCTAATTAATAAATAATAATACATTCAAATAATTCCTATTTAATTCCATTTATATCAATACTGTTAATTCTCTGCAGAAATAAAACAGCATTTTTTAGATTTTATTTTAGTATCTCTTCCAGACTTGAATACTTTCTGATGTGCTGGAATAATGAAATGTTCTCTCTTCCGGTTGTCAGACAAACACGAGAGCAAGCTGAAGGGTGTGATTTACTTCCAGGCCATCGAGGAGGTTTACTACGATCACCTGCGCAGCGCCACAAAGGTACCAGTCCCATCAGAAAGGGAGAAAGCCTTGTTTAAGCGCAACTCTTTCTCTCCTTCACCTCCCGCTGTTCTTCTGCTCTGCTCCTCTTGCACCATTTGCTTTGATCTTCTTCTGTTCGCTTCTTTCTTCTCTTTTTTGTCTCTCATGCTGTAACTCTGCTGTCAATGTTCCCCACCCTTCTTCTTTTTTTTTTCATTATTCTTTTGCTTTGCCGACTGTTTTCACAGAAAGGATTTTTCAATCTGAATCTGACAAACGTACGTATGGGTTCTCCACCGCTAGCTTCAATTCTGCATGTCTGGTCTAATACTCAATCCCTTCTGACTAATTAACATACCTTGTGTTTTATTGTTTCGAAATAAAGGGCAATTTGCACTTTCGCTAAGCGCAAATGAATGTTTTGGAATAGTTAGTGTGAGAGTCTAATGCATTTATGATGTCTGTGTATATTTCCCTTTAGTGATTTTTTTACTACTCCCACCTCTGATGAGATGATAAGTGTGTGTATATAACATAATAATCCCACAGAAGCAGATGTGTGGTGTATTATACGCTGCATTTTGTGTGATGTGATTGGATAAGTGGTACATTTAGGCCGCATTAAGGCCAGACACTGCAGGAAAAAACGCTGTTTTTCTCACACCATGATTTTCTTAATGTTTAATGTAAAGAAAACATCTAAAATACATGTTTAAAGTCTGTATGAAATCAAAATGTACCATTATATTTTGGTTGCGCACATTGTTATTCTTTAGGTGAAGAATTATTCTGTGAAAGTTAATCCATTAGAAAAAATCTGATGATTCGCTTCTGTGTTTGGATGCTTGAGCCACAATATTCTTAATCACGGCCCTCTTGTTTGCTACAAGGACATGCAAAAATATGGAGCCAGATCAGTCTCAAAAATAATACATTTACAAAATATAATTCATACTTCCATAACACAAGTCACATTTACAAAATCCAGTTCATAAATTCAAAACATGATTCATAAATACACAAATCCAATCCGTAAATTCAAAACACGATTCATAAATAGACAAATCCATTTAGTAAATTCTAAATGTGATTCGTAAACACAAATCTAATTAATTTGGCAAAAATATTTAAATATTTATATACACAATTTACAGATTGTGTTTTGAATTAAAGCATGGTCCATTTTGTAATGAATTATGGGAATTGTGCTGTGCATGTGTGAATTTTATTTTGTAAATGTAACATTTTTGAGACTGATCTGGCTCCATACATAATCAAACCCCCAACCCCTTTCAAATATTCCATTTCAGTTTTAAAAACAAGAGGGCCCACTGTCTCAGCAACTTCTGGTTCACACAGACTTTGTTTTACTTTGGTTGCACTTTTTTTTGTTTGTTTGTTTTTTGTAGATGTTAATTAAAGTATATTTGTTTGTTTGTTCCCCATAGACATATGTTCATACATAAATTGCCTTTTATATAAATCAAAATTTGCCTAATTTTTCACAATTTTTTGTAGGGGTTTTTTTTTCATAAAAATTATTTTGTGGTGGTAATTCCCAGAAATGTGCGGACAATTTTGGATAAAAATAATATATGTATAGAATTATTATTAATTATTTTCTTTTTTAAATATTTCCCAAATGATGTTTAACAGAGCAAGAAAATTTTCAGAGTATTTTTGATAATATCTTTTCTTCTTTATTTGTTTTATTTCAGCTAGAAGAAAAGCAGTAGTTTATTTTTTTATGAACCATTTTAAGGACAAAATTATTAGCCCCTTTAAGATTTATATTTTTTTGACTGTCTACAGAACAAACCATCATTATTCAATAACTTGCCTAATTACCCTAACCTGCCTACTTAACCTAATTAACCTAGTTAAGCCTTTGAATGTCACTTTAAGCTGTAAAGAAGTGTCTTGAAAAAAATATCTAGTAAAATATTATTTACTGTCATCATAGCAAAAATAAAATAAATCAGTTATTAGAAATGAGTAATTTAAGCTATTATGTTTAGAAATGTGTTAAAGAAATCTGCTCTCCGTTAAACAAAAATGTAGGACTCCAACTTTATATATATATATATATATATATATATATATATATATATATATATACGCATACACAAATTAATATTAAAAATCTTAATTACCATATTTGGTAACCTACTAGATAAAAATGTTAAGAACTAGTTAGATGTGCAATCATTGTCTAACACAATGAAATAAATCATTAAAAAAAAGCTTCTTTATTTTGGTTTTTTGTCAAAACAAGATCTAAAACAGATGTAAAACGGTAGGGATTAAGCCAAAGGAAGATACTCTTATATATGTCAAAACAATAAATTAGACAAGAATTCTGAACCTGACTTCATCCAATGTTCAGATTTGTTGTACTAGTACATTTCTAACACAAAAACATATGAAATTTCTTGTGCCAGAAAATGAACTTTGAAGGTTAAAAAATCTTGTCTAATTTATTGTTTTGATAAGAGTAATTAAGGATTTTGTAAGGATTTTTTAAATGAGTGCATGATTGATTAACAGCCATTTAAGTACCTAGTTTGCATATGTAAGCATAGCATTTCACAAAACGTGTACAAACATTTTACCTCATTCACCTGCAGAGTCTTGCCTTTACACAAGTCAATCCCTGAATGTCTCAGAATCCCATTTGTTTGTATTGCATGTTGTTAAAGTGTTTAAAATGCCCTTTAATGATCGTCTTGAAGAAGAAAACTATTGTACATTTAGAAGCACCTCTTCTTTTATGCAGATCTTTGGAGGTTTGAGTATTGTGTTTGGTTAGTTATTTTAGCTCAATAATGGTCAGTTACAGTGTTTATTTTGACAATGCATTTTTTATTTAGTCTTAGTCTTTTGACTAAAATTCAGTTTTAGTCATATTTTAGTCTTCTAGATCATTTTAGGTTTTGTCTAGTTTAAGTTAACTGAATTTCCAACTAAATCTACTCTAGATTTAGTTGACTAAAATATTATGGGTTTATTTAAATTTAAATTAATTAATATTGTATACATTTATTTATACAAAATATTTTAACTTAAAATTAAATAAAGTGTAATATATTGTCTCATTAAAATATGAAATATAGCTTTTCCGTTAAAGACTAAAAATTAAATATGCATTGTTTATTTATATCATAAGTAATAGGTAAATGTCATTATCACTTTATTTTTATTTAGTTTTTCTAGTTTTTGGCTGTAAAATCTTGTTCATCATGAAAATTATGACGAAATGCTTTTGTCAATGAAATGAACACTGCTTAGAAATCATTCAGGTTATTTTAAGTTTGTAAAAAAGAAATCTAAGTCTGCGTTTTGGTGCAAGTTTTTCTTAAATTAAAGGAACCTGGAAAAACAATTTCTTTATGCAACATGAATGCAACTTCCTCCTACAAAAACGTGAGCAAAATTAAAACAGGGTAAAAGAACAGATTAAATTCAGGTTGAGGTCTGGTGAAGATAAACATGCTGAGCACAATGTGTTTGTGAGGTGAATTATTAAATATTGAGAGCACGATGCCACTGAATTGAAAAAGATTTAGAAATATCTAGAATCTAGGGGGAAAATAACATTTGTTTGTTGTTTTTGGTTATATTAAAAGCAGATCTATTATAATATGAAATTTTTAAAAATAGATAAGTCTAAATGTAAAGTCTTACGTTTTATATAATCTACATAGACAACATATTAATAAGTCTAAAATATATCTACATAATCAAATCATTTGGTAACTATTAAGGAAATTCTGTAATTGTATGAAATAATTATAAATGAATTATTCATTAGTATAAATAAATAAATATACTTTTATTATGATTGATTATTAAGTATTATTAATTAAGATTTACTTACTGTAGAATTTGTTTTAGAATATAATTAAATGGAAAAAAAAGTAAAAGTCAATAAAGGACTATACGTCAGAATATCAAATGTTTTCATTTGTTGATTGAATATCAAGGTTAGTCCACCAAATTTAGATTTCTTAACTTGTTTGAAGCTAAAACATTAATATTGTGTATTTTACTAAAAATAATATGCTGTAAAAAAACTGGGTTCCACACAATCAATTTGTGTTGTGACAACATGAAGAAATTATATACATTTGTTTTTTTTTTTTATTTTGAGTATGTTGAATATAAAACAATTAAGTCCCCCAAATCTCAAGAATGAAGTTGTTTCAGCTCATTTTAAATGAGTAGATTGAACAAACACAAAAACGTCATTTAAAAAATGCTCGGTTCCACCCAATTAAATGACATTTTTGTGTTTGTTCAATCTACTCATTTAAAATGAGCTGAAACAACTATGCACACAGACTTTTAATTTCAGTCAGCCAGCCCCAGGGCTTCCAGTTAATTGTCATTCCATTCGAAATCTCCGCGCATAAGATCTAATTTCTTTTAATAAAACTGCGATCTTTACTGCCTGGCTGAGATACGATATAAAGTGGGTATCAGAACAAACATGAAGCACTCCATTAAATTATATTTTTCTGCATCATCTCTTTAAAATATGGAAATTAATTTTACCCCTGCATTTTCAATCATTCATCTCTTTTTACGCTTTAACAACCAAATTAATGCTTAAGTCTATTTAACTGATTATATTTGAATTACATTACAACATCGATGCTGTAAAAGGAACCTTATGAAATTGAAAATAGTCACATAAAGTATAGTCACACATTTTTTGAGTGTACTCTGTAAAAAATGTTGGGTTACACACAATTCCTTTTGGGTTGTTGGGTTCAGCACAAATCGATTAACGTAATTGTTTTTAAAAATGTAAGTTGATTGAACATAAAACAATTAAGCTACTCCAAAAAAAATTCTCAATAATTGTGTTGATTCAGCTTATTATAATTAAGTAATTTTAAAAAGCAGCGAAAACGTTTTTTGAGTTTGTGAACATTTCCAAAAACTTGGCATTTTGTTATCTCATGCAAAAAAAAAAAAGACATATAATAAACTTTTACTTTAAATGTGGAATTTATCTGAAACTCTATATACAAAATTACATACATTTTTAAACACTTAAAAGTGTTACACAATACACAAAAGTTTGGAGTCAGTACGATTTTTAAATGTTTTAAATAAGCCTAAAAAGCAATTAGTTAACTGTATTAAAAAATTCAGTAAAATCGCATAATTGCAAAAATTTAAGTTGAGTCAACTTAACAAGTTACAATGAGTTTACTTACATTATTTTTAAGTAAAGTCTACTTGTTGTCTTTGAAGGCATCGGTTTACTTTTAAATAACCAATCACTTTTTACAGTGCTGTTCACCAAGGCTACATTTTCTCATCAGAAATACAAAACAAACTGTAAAACTGTGAAATGTTATTGCACTATCAAATAACTGTTCAAAGTAGTTTATAATCTAATTTAATTATTTATTCCAGTGATTTTAATGAATTTTCAGCTTCATTTCTCCATTCTTCAGTCACATAATTCTTCTAAAATCACTCCAATGTAAAATATTATTGGTATTATTATTATTATTATCATTATTATTAATAATAATAATAATAATAATAATAATAATAATAATACTATTAATGGTAATTTTTTTATTAGATTAGATTAGATTCTAATAATAAATAAAGTAATAATAATATAAATAAAGTAATAATAATAATAATTAGAATATAAATAAAGTAATAATAATAATAAATAAAGTAATAATAAATATAATAATAAAGACTGGAGTAATGATTTCATCTAAAACTACATACAATAAGAAGTCAGTAATTTGAATTTGAATAAATATTTAACCAATTTTTAAAAATAAATGCTGCCTTAATGAACAGAATAATTTTCTTTAAAAAAAAAAAACTAATTTTTGAAACTGACCCTAAACTTTTGACCGCTAGTGTACATTTCTGAAAAATATACCGTATATCACTTAAAGCATACCCAGCAAATAATTCATGTAAGTCAATAACTAATTAGCAGAGTAGCAGTGACTAATCTGTGTGTTTTTGGTCTCAGAGCCCGACCCCGACGCTGACCTTCTGTGTTAAAACACACGACAGACTGTATTACATGGTGGCTCCGTCCGCAGAGGCCATGAGGATATGGATGGATGTGATTGTGACAGGAGCCGAGGGCTACACACAGTTCATGAACTGAAACAAACCACAAAAGCATTCAGCAGGGAGACCCGCACCTCTTATTCCCAGCGAGAGGAAAAAACTTGATTGTCTAACTTCCCTGTTTCCTGGAGATGTTGTAAACTGGCTCAGCTGCACAGACAGGTATTCACCAGAGGCTTTCCTGGATCCAAAAAAAAAAAAAAGGGAGACTCACTCGCCATCCAAAATGCCTTTTATTGCCGTTGGAGATATTGTTCAGTTGCAGCCTGGATGTGCAGAAATCTACTTTCATTTCTACCATTTGTTCCATGATATGTTTCCAATGGGGAGAAAAATGCCAAATGACATCAAACCATTCTGGAAAAGCTTCTGCGACAACAATTCGCTGGGATTGACTCTGATGAAATGCTGAAAATTGACACTCGAGAGATGTTTTTAAGTGGAATTTAAAAGAGTATTACATGCACATTTAAAGATCTGGAATCACGAATACTTTTCACCAAAGCTCACCTACCAGCTCAGGAGTGTGTATTTATTGTGGAGGGGCATCAGCCACTCCTGGCCCACCGTTTCCCACTGTGTCTCTGTATTCCCAGCTTTGTTTTCAATTCGCATGCACACACACATTTAACAGTAGAGTCTATTTGCCAAGTCCTGACAACTTGATCTTGCGTTTTGAGGCCATCTCCTATCACTGCCAGCCTACCAGAGTTTGGAAGATTTGCCACAAACAAGAGGACAAAACAAACAAACAACATCGGAATCATGCAAGTCATGCAGTGCCTTGAGACTGACCCATATTTCTCACTCGTAGTATTTGAACTGTTACACTAGTGAATAAATGTTGCAGGAATCACAGTGTTCAGGTGCAGTCACATTAGGGAATTTTCACAAGTGTATATCGTCAATAGTGCAGCACTGTATGAAGCTCAAGTCATGCTCAAAACAAGTTTTCTGCTGATTTTGTCAATGAAAATGGCTTGGCACAAACAGAAACTTGACAAAGATGCTGCGCCATTAACATGACTGAATGTGCACTATTAAGTCGGCTCACACTGTGTGATTTTCTATAATCGATTGTAGCATGTCAGACTGCTCGAACATGGCTCCCATGTCACACTTTCAAGGCCCGTGCACACTGGGATGCTTTTTGTTCGTGTTTTCCGTCGACATTTAACTCCTTGTGACTAAATAAAGGGCACCAATGTGATCGTGCACACCAACGCGCAAAACAACAGAAGTAAAAGTGTCATTTTTAAAGAAACGCCTCATGCTGGTTTTTCTGTTTTGACACGCCGCGTCAAAACCTTCTCCACCAATCAGGGGTGCGTTTCCCAAAAACAACGTAACTTGTGGCTGAACTATCATAGTACGATGCATCGTTTTGGAAAAGAATGATGCAGTGATGAGTGTTTCCCGAAATTGATAGTTTCTCTGTTGCAGATCCATCGCTTGAACCATGTTAGGTATAACGTGAAACACCTATAATGATGCTCTAAATGGGGTGAAGTAACTTCTTTAGAGAAGAACCCCATAATGTCTCTGTGCAAATGATATTGTTTTACACGCACATGCATTTAAAAAAAAAATAATCCAATATTAGATTTGGTAAAAACATGCTCTCACTTTCCATATTAACTAAAATATATGTAAACGGCACATATAGGGTCTGTGTTTGCTTTACTAATATTATTGAGAAGTTGAACATTACATATTCTATTCTAAAACAGAAAATCACTTACAAAAGCTCACACTATTCTAATATCATATATAAATCATATAAATGAAAAGATTATGAGTCTATTCATTATAAAATTTTATTTTATATTTGTTATTTATTAGAAATGAAAAGATAATACTTTATTAATAATATTAATAATATTAATGATGATGATTATTATTATTATTATTATTATTATTAAGTAGGGTATTGTTTATTTTATTATTTTTATTTATTATTATTTTTATTTTTGTTTACTTTTGCTTGTAAACCACAGCAGAAAGTTTTAACCATCTGGTCCATGTCATATACAGTACAGATACTTAATAAATAACCCACTATAAATAAAAAGAATAAAGGTATGTTTTTTGTTTTCACAAGCTTTGGAGACATAACATAAATTCTGCTTTTACATAATAGGTCACCTATAGCTTCCGCCATGAGGCTGTGTTCAAAATGACATCAATGTTTTCAAAGTGCACTGTAAGAGGAGCACGGTTGAAAACGTGAAGATTGCTAGAACTGAACTGTAAAAACAGTTTGAAAGCAAATTACACCTAAAAGAGAAGACCTTAATGCTTTATTTATTTTTAATCATTCCAACTTTGAATGTTAGAATGTTCGAAATGAATAGGACAAAGGGGGGATAAATGGGACTAGAACACGGCCAGGAACTATGTTTCTAACTACAGCTCCAGAGGTGTAGTTGTGAGTGCTCAAGTTTGCGACGCACTTTGCGAATGTTTGTTGAAGCGATGGATTTGGGAAACCGCAAATCAACAAACTATGTTTGTAACCACGGAACTTGCGACCTTAGTTAGCTAAAGATGGTTTTGGGAAATGCACCCCAGATTGGCACTTTTGTTCACATGCACGGAGCTGCTGAAGTTAAAGTATACAACACTTAGAGGCGCTCAAGCGCAAAACTGTCAATGCGAGTGCACATTAAAGACGATGCCCAGAGGTGATATGAACCTGGAGATGCTCATTGCTCTAAGAACAATAATCATTTCTTCATCGCTAGAGCTAGAGCTGCTGCTTAAACCATCCATGCTTGTTCGAATCGCCAGTAACTTTAATAACAAGCGTGTCAACATTCTCTCTTCTTCTTCTTCTGTGTTACATATAGGTGTCAAAAGCTTAAAGTTGTGTAGCGCCATCTAATGTCAAGGAGTGATTTTGCATACTTTTTCACTCGACAAAAGTAAAATTGCTGGGGTTTAAATCCAGAAAAAAATCTCTAAAAACGCTGACAATAAACACAAATGAAAAGTGTCCCGGTGTGTACGAGCCATTTGAATTGTTCCATAGATTGCGTCATTAGATTCTGAACTCCTATTGTTGCTTGGATTGTTCTTGGAAACGGCCTGAAATCTTTCGACACTGCCAGAGCTTCATCGGAGAGAAAATCTGATCGCAACGGGCACTAAGCAGCTCTCTGTGAACATGTCAAACCAGCAATTAAAGATCACAGATTTTAGCCGAGGATTTTAAGAATCTTTCAGGATTTCCCAAATTTGTCACAGATGACAAAATGGTGGCTGAAATCTCACAGTGTGAGCAGGGCTTAACATGTAGATCTGCTCAGATTGCAGAATGCAGCAGCGTTTGTTTTGATCTTTTTGACTACATTTCAGTCTCATCGTTTTCATCAACATTAATTCACTGTTCATTCATTAGATGAGCGGATCTGAGTGTGCGCATTGATAGTTTGCAGTCATGTTATAAGCATTGGAGACCTGTCAAGTTTCTGTTTGTGTCAATCTACAGGCAATTAACATTTTTCAGCCTTGACCAAATTAAAACTGGGTCACTTGTTGGGATTTTGCTCAGTCAGATTGAATCTGCACACGCTAATTCACATTTGCATGGGGAAACTGCAGGATTTCATTCACAGAAAAGGGTCAAATTCTCATCAAATTCACATCAACATATTCCCCATTTTTCATGGAAATCTTTCACACTCCCTTAACATAGCTTGAATTTTATCTGAAAAGACTTCACTAATTAATATATTAGTCTTATTTCATCAAGATTTTTATGAAATTTAGCAAATTCCGAGAAAGATGCTAAACGCTAAATTTATGCTAAGTTGCCAATTGCATGGATTCCAATCGAAATGGCGGTATCACTTTATTTTGATGCTCACTTTATTACATTTTGTTGAATTGAAGTTACAATGCATCTACTGGGGTTAGGGTTCGGATCAAGCCACCTTTCCACTGCACACGACATTCGTACATGGCTGTCGGAATACGCCCTCTTGTGGCTGTCGCGTAGAGTTTTCAGTTTTGTCGTGCACCATGGGAGAGAAGCTGATTCTCTCTGTGTCTGAAATAAAGGAGTGCCTTTATTCTCAGTGCGTTCTCCATGGTGGAATGAATGCATAAATACTAGAAATTTTTGGAGGGAATGTGGAGACAACATTAAAAATAATCATATTTTTTATTACTCATTTATAAATGGAAATGTTTTTTAATAAAGTCTTTTTTCTGATTTAAAAATAACGAAATACTATTTCTCATCTCGGTCGCATGGACCTGCTTGGACAACACTAGAATACATCACATCCCGTCAGCCGGTTGCATGCGGTCTAGTAGCAGGAGTTTAAATATTTCAGCGTATCTGCAGCTCAAATCAGATCAGAATTTGTCGCATATGGAGATGATCGGAATCGCAGCTCTCGGACTACTCTCCATTGGGAATGAACGACTTCCGGTCTGTCGCTTGTTGTGTGCAGTGGAAAGGCGGCTTTAGGGTTAGTGTAAGTTGACAAGTTTCTTATAGTCAGTCAAATGTCTAATCAAAGATCAGTATTAGCAGATATTAAGCAGGCAGTCTACTAATACTCAAATGAGAAGTACTCGGCATGTTGTAATGCCACTTTTAGTCAACAAAATGTGCAATATTGACCATTAAAATAAAGTCTTACCCAAATGGCTTTACTTTTGGCTTTAGAAACACATTCAGCAGTGGTAAAACTACAGACAAATTCGCTAAATGTGTGAACTATTTTGTGAAAAACGGAACATTACAGTAATTTGTCTCAACAATAACGTAGTGACCCTTAAAACACAGCTCACATACAGGACATAGTTTTCTATTTAGAAATTTTCACTGGTGGAATCTTTCACACCCTATCGACATATTCCTGTTGAAATCACTGCAAAATATGAGTTATTTAACAAACGTTTTGAGAAGATATGATTTCACAGAGATTTTAGATCAATCCATTTCTGCTGTATGAATTGCAGTATGTGTGAGGAAGTCTTTCACATGCATGCAGTGTGTGGATTCCTATTATAATGACTGGATTTCTCCTTTCGAAAATTCATTGTTAAATGAGACTGCACCTCTGTTCCATGTGATGCATGGTGGGTTTTACTGTTTTAAGAGATTGTGAACAGACACGTACTGTAATTTAAAGAAAAAGGTGACCTATTTAAATCAGTCTGATACTGCTTTAATACAATATAAGGAGCTGTACAAAGAGATTAGTAGCTCTACAAGTATTATTAATGTTTTACAGGCAGCCCATTAACTAGTCTGCCCGACCTTGTGTCAGTTTGGGGGAAATAAATGTTTATTTATGGTTCGCGATGTTACAGAGCAGCTACAACACTGTCAAAAAGACCAACATGTTCTGCTTTCTCCTCAAACCAAACGGTATGTTCAAAGGAAAGTCTACAGAGAGTTTAAATCAAGATGAATAATTATAGTCTTCATTTTGCGTGTTAAGATGTCTGAGTACTATATCACACAACTAGGTGGAAACAGTGTTGTAAAATGTTGAACATGAATACACTCAGTTTTCCAAAATCCCACTTGGTTTGTGTTTATTTGTCTATTTATGAGCTGTGCTAATGCACAAAGCATACTTTGTTGTTGTTGTTTTTAAGTATTCCCTTATGAAAAAAAATATACTTAGTATATAATACTACTAAGTATACAAGGTATACTTTGTTCATTTTATCAAGTATTTTAAGTCATTTTTAAAGTATTTTTTTAAGTATACTTCCAAACATCTTTGTACTAGTAGTATACTTGTAATTGTAGTACCATTTGGTTTCATCTTTTAGTAGGTCTACATAAAAAGAAAACGTTTTAGGTGTACTGTTAGTGGAAGAGTCATC